TCCTTTTCTCTGTGGCCTGTGCAATCTAAAACTATGGGTGTCCCCATGACTTGTGTAAATGGAGAATGTTGATTGTTGTTTGTAGCTGGGTTACAGCAGTAGATCTGAAACATCCTTTGTAAAATGGCTTTACTGTTTTCTGACTCATACTTTTATCTCGAATGACACAGTAAAAGACTATGTAATGGAACAGCTACTGTAGCAACCTTTAAAGTTGTATGTGGTAACCTATCCCTGCAGAGACGTAAAACCAAGCTATAATGGATGTCTTCCTTTCCCCGTTTGTATAAAATGCTGCAGTGTATTTAGTGCCCCAGCTAAGAGGAGACATGGTTAGAAAGCATTAGTTGCATAAGTAAATATTTTCACTTCAGAATTTAAGAATTCCAGTCCAAGATCAAAACATTAATTAGAGATTCCTAGCTGTCTGAATACTAATGGCAGATTAATAGGATTTGAAATACAGGTCATGCTCAGTAGTTTTGACTTGAAAATCACCCTAATTTAACACTTCAGTAAAGCTGATATTGGGTTGGTAAATTAAGCCTGTTTTGTTTTAATTGTTATAATCATAGTTTGTGTTCCCCATATTAAACAAGGGAGTGTTCTGTGGCAATCTATGGGGAATAATATTTGCACACTTCTTAAGAGGAGTAAGGAGGATGTGGAGATAACACTGCTGGTCCTTCTGTCCTACATATGAGCTCAGTCCAACTCCCCTTGAACTCAATGGCATCTTGTTGACTTCAGTGGAAGTTGGATCAGGTCCCAGTTGGGTTCTGAAGTCCTAGGCTGTTTGCTTATGTATGCTTATGGTATGATTTGTGACAGCTTGAAAGTGCCCATAATGAAAAATGTTTCACCTAAGGGTTCATGGCTTTTTTTCCCCTCCGGTGTCATAGGTACAAGTGAGCTGCACCTAATGTGCTGCATTCCAGGAAATAGAAAGGCAGCCTTTTTTTTTTTTTAAAGATAAAAATGGCTTGTTAATCACACAATACATTATTGGCCTGTGGAACTCATTGCCACAAGATACTGCAGAGGCCAAGAGTTTAGCCTGTTTCAAAAAATGGGTTGTCACTTCTATGGATGAGAACATCCAGAGTTACTTTAGTAAGGATTAAAATAATCAGTGTTTGGAAGGGATATAAACCCTGATGTTGCAGGGCATAAACCAGTCACTAACTAAAGGGAGTTAGGAAGAATCTTACCCTGTAACTGTCTACCACTGGGTTTTTTGTACCTTTTTCTAAGTGTCTGATACTGGCCATTGTCAGAAACAGGATCCTGACCTTTATGGACCACTTGTTTTGATCTTTCTGGGTAATTTTTATGTTCTTGTAAAAATATTGAGTAAGTAGTATAACACCTAAAAGTGTTCTAGATGTTTTATAGAACAAATAAGAACCAACTGCCTCATTTTAGACATGATGCCAAAATCGGGCATCATAATCAATAGACAGGGAGCAGGCTGGGAAAGGATAGGGCTTACAGCAGTAACCCTAACCATGTAACTAGTTTTTAAGCATGTATATTTCTAGATGGCTCTTTAAGTATTTCTTCATTATAGACTTGTTTCTTGCGAGCATCATGGAAGAAGTATATCTTGAAGGATATGACAAAACAGAAACTAAAGTGTGTATGGACTAGAGTTGGAGGGCATGTCACAGATAAGAGGGGAGGGGTGGAATTCTGACTTTTGACATCCGTAGCTCCCTGAGAAAAACCTCATATAACAATACAAGAGCAGCATAGCACCCTTGCATATATCATTCAAGTTCTCACTAGGCTACACTTTCTGCACAGAGTGCTAAGACAACGCAGAGTATGGAATTTAGCTTTGCTAACAGTTCTGGAGTAAATTATGCCTTAGGAAATATTTTGATTTTTTTTTCTCTTCCAATCTGTATGTGGAAACAAGGCATGGTAGGTGGCTAAAATTACTGCTCAGGTAGACTGAAGAGGGAGAAAAAAAGTTGGAGTTTCAGAAAGAAGAGGATATAGAGCGGTAGCGAGCCTGATTTGTCTTGGGTACCCCCAAGTTTCACCTCACTCAAACTCTTTGTTTACAAATCAGACATAAAAATTCAAAAGTGTCATAGCACGCTATTACTGAAAAATTGCTTACTTTCTCATTTTTACCAATAACTATAAAATCAATTGGAATATAAATACTCTACTTACATTTCAGTGTACAGTATACAAAGCAGTAAAATCAAGTTTGTACGAAACTTTAGTTTGTACTGACTTCGCTAGTGCTTTTTATGTAGCCTGGTGTAAAACTAGGCAAATATCTAGATGAGTTGATCTACCCCCAGCAGACCTCTGTGTACTCCCAGAGGTACATGTACCCCTGGTTGAGAACCACTGATCTAGAGAATATGGTAAGGTGTGACAATAATAGTACCAGAAATCATTTCAGTCAATGCAGCAGGCAGCTAACTATCACCAAAGAATAACGCACATCAGTATAGAATGTTTCAAGCTCAGAGAATACTCTAACCTCAAACTGACCAGAATTATATATATAGTTCATTCATTCACTGGTGAAGAGGAGCAGTTTTTTAGCAGTGCAAAACAATTACCCCACAACAGTTTAGAATATGAAATGACCCTAAATATATCATCACACTCATTTAATTCTTCCAAGAATTTGTGCATTAGCAGGATTGGCTTTGGGGGTTTATTTGGGTGGTTTTAGAACAGTGTTTCTCAACCTTTTTGATACCAAGAACCAGCTTGCGGCCTTCCTAAACTGTCAGGGAGATCTCAGGGACCCGCACCTGTCCACAGACGGGTTGTTGTGAAACACTGCTTTAGTCCACAAAAGCTGAGGTAATATTAATGCTGTGCTGTGCAGTCATTTTTAAGAGTGAATTTAGCTTTCATGAAGGATATACCAGAATGTAGTTTTGTATAGAGGGATAAGATAGAAGACCAAAAGGCTGAGTAACTTTTCCCAGTGAGAGAACTTAGAACTCCATCACATAGTACTGTCTTCTTATATTCAGGGGGTGTTCACCTAAGCAATAACTACATCGCTTCTCCTCAGTTTCATCAGTAGTTGGCAGTGCACCAGAATTAGTGGGGTATACAGAGGTTCCTTGATGGTCAGATATCAATATCCATAGATCAAACACAGGAGTTGGCATTACACTATGCTTACATCTGGATGCTTGTTTCCTCAAATATTTTTAACACTGCCTATAAAGAAACCTAAATAACTAGACGTACAAATCTTAGGATGACTAAATGTGACAGTGAGGACATGTGTGTCAGAATGGGAATTAGTATGTTACCTGCAGGGTCAAACCAAAGAGAGTAGGAGACTAAAGCTTCACTCCTTAAACTACAAGTTGTGTCTACGCTAGCCAACTCCACAAACTTAACTCACCACCCCTGAAAGCCATAGTAGGATTAGATGACATAGTGGTAGAAATGCTCGAACCCCATCTACACTATGATTTCCACTGCTGGTGAGTTACAGCCATGACGTCTGTTAGTCCCAAAGAAGAGCAGAAGTGACAGGATGAGAAGAGTTAGTGATCAATATTGAGGCTGGGAACATAAAAAGTGCCTTGAAGCCTTGATTTTTAAAAAGAATTTAACCAACATTATTTTTAAAAACAACCCTGGGGGTTTTTTTGGTCAGACTTTACTCTATATTACCATAACAAATCTAAGTATAAGACTTTCAGTCTGTCTTTCATCTTATCATGCACATAGTTTCATCTGTTAGATCTTTAACCTAAATGCAGGGGGGGTGCACAGAATTTGGAGGCTTAGAAGGGGAAAAACCCTCCATATCCAGTACTACCCTGTTCCAGCTTTGCCTATGTAAACAGTTGGGAACAATCCTTAAAAGGGAGCAAGTAGTCTCAGGGCATTTATAAAAAAGCCCACATTGGCTTTAGGACCCAAGGCCAATTTCATGGGCTGCTTGGTGGTGAAGAATCAGGTGCTTTTGGTGGTTCCAGCCATTGTCTTTTTGAGAACAAGGCAGGATGGTAAATGTTGTCCAACATGGCATCCACTGTTAGTATCCCTAGTTTCTGGCAACATGTGATGGAGAAAGGCATAGGAGTATAAATAGTACCTTTGCACAAGATGGAGAGACCTTCTTAGCATACATGCCTCAGGGTGGCACGTGACCAGGATTCATCACTGAATTTGGTCCCCTGGTTGGATCATTAGCTTCCCTGGCTTGGGCTGGGTACTGATGGGGAGTGTGATGGGAACGCTGATCCATGCCCTGCAGAGAGACCCTAAGAAAGCCAGATGGTGCTGGGACTCTCTCCTGGATGGCACATGCATGTAAACCTACTTTGTTTTTACAATTGTTTTGCTTTGTAGTGACTTGAGTGCAAATATGTCAGTAGAACAACAAGCAGAGAATGTGGGAATACTGTATATTTCTGTCTTTTTAGCAGGTTGAAATAACCCCCCCCCCCCCCCCCAAACAAAGAAACTCTGCTTACAAATTCCAAGGATGCACTTCTTGAGTGTGTCTGGCTTGAAAACAGCTATTTGAAAGAATTACCAGAGGGATATCTAAGTGCTACTAGAAGAAACAAACTGAAGTAAAATTTTGGCGTTAATAATCATGCCACAATTTTCAGAAGTCATTAGTAATTCTGGGTGCCTCAACTTTTAGGTGCCTAACTTTAAGGTGTTAAGTTAGGCACCCACAATCACTACTGAAATTCTTAGCTTCAGTGTTTGTAGGACAGACAGACCTCAAGGTAACTAGAGTTAGGAGGTTCCACTGGATTTACGTAGAATAATTTAGAACTGTTTTAGATGCAGTAGATCAATTCAACATGTTTTCAACACTTCCCATAGCTACATCAATACTTTTCTATATAAACGTTTCTAGATAGTGATAATTGCATGCTTAAACATGTTTCAATCCACAAAAGTCTCTTAAATGACAAGTGTAAAGTGCCACTGATTGGTTTGTAAAAAGAGAACCTTAACTCTATAAACTCTACCGCTGTAACTCAGAGTAAAATGTAGAGTTTAATCTTGAAATTCACCAAACTGCAATATTTTCCCCATTTCCATGTTACAATTTTGATTCCAAAGTAATTGTCTGCCAGAAATTAGCTGTTACTTAACTTTATATCTCACCCCTCCCATAAATTTATTCTCCTTTCTTTGTTAGGCTCTATCCACAGCATTTTGGGTACAGCTCACAGGGTGAGGTGTATGTACTACCTAGATAAGGATTTATACAATCAAATGACATTTTACAGACATAGATTAGTCAGACTCATACTTGCTACCATATTGATGACTTCAAACTCTGACGTCCACAATGCTTTCACACTAGCAAAAGGACCTGACTAACTAGAATCTCTCAACCCAAGTAAGTTTCAAGTTCTACAACTGGTGTTATGTAGAGTGCTACTGAGCAGAAGAGAGGCAGTCAGGCTAAGTGATAATGAGTTTCTGCCACTGGGGATGCTGTACGGAGCAAGACTTAAGGGGAACCATTTCCCTCAATGTGTTATGCATGTCACAGGCATTAGTTAAGGATGACAAAATTTATTTGAAAAAATTATTATGTATAGAAAATATACATTAGAATGATCATCTCTCCACCTCTTGGGTCTAGCACTCCCCTCTCCCAACACAAGTAGCTATAATTTGCTGCTATGCTACTGCTGTTTAAAAAATATCTGTCTCCTTTCTCCATACACAAATTCATATTGATACTTCTAACAACTTTACCACCAGGAAAAAAGGGAAATCTTTCTGAATCAATAGGTATTCAACAAGTCCCAATCTTCCATGGTCAGGCACGTGTGTGTCTGCTTTGAAGTTCGTTCTTTCTCTTGTTCAGTTAAACCTTTCTCTTTATTTTTCTTTAATTGGTGGCTAGCTGCAGCCTCCTTTTTCAATAAAGGGAAATGGCAATTTTGTACTTTATCCTTGTAGAACTGCAAGTTTTCAGAAGCTTTTGCTTTAGTCTGCACCAATGTGCACTTGACTGGTTCTTCTATCCTGCATCTCTTTCCATCTACAAAAAAACCCAAAACACAGAGTTAAGCCTGCTCTCTAATTCAGTATGTGCTTGGCACAAAAGCTAGTCATCATTTGTTAAGCCATGTTTTAATACACCTACAAATCCTTAATATTTAGAAATGAAATCAATTTTTCAATATTTGGTTGTATTTAATCAATACAACACATAAGATTGTTTTATATTACTCATTTTTTGTTGGGAAATGTGCTAATCATATTACAAAGGGAGGATTTTGTGCTTAACTTAATCACTTTGTACAAAGTCAGATGACCAAGCTGAAAATGACCTGAGTCACCAGATTCCAGCTGCCTCAAGAACTAACCCAAAACCCACTGAGGCCAACAGACTCCCATTGGTTTCAACGCACTTGAGCTCAAGCTGTCAGTGAGTTGGATTTACCTAAGTCATATTCCATCACATAAAAAAATATATATTCACTAAAAGCAAGGTCCATCCCTTTTTAGATATTTTGTAACTTTAAAGATGTTGTATAAGTGAAAAACGCTCAGTTTCACAAGTGGCTGCAGGTGTACATTCAATATGCCACTATTTGGTTTTGTTTTTTTAAATAAGTTTAGTGTAAAAATAATGTACAAATTTAATGAACAAGTTATTCAGAACCTCACACAGTTACATACAGAAGTGTTGAGCTGCTGTTCTGGACTTCAAGTTTTCCTTGGGCTTGACGGTTTTCATAGCTAACTGCTCCCACTGCAACACTGTCTGAAACATGATTTAAATTATTTTGAATGATTTTCTTAAAGGAAATCATCATCAGAAACAACTCTACACCTTACTCTTTAGCTTTTTTTATGCCTTATTACCCGTCAGAGATGACTTATACAGCAACACTAGTTTTCAGTAAAAGCTTTTAGTATTAGCAACCTAAGTAAAATATTCCTTCCTCTAATTCTTACGAATACTATCTTATCAAACAGGAATTCTGATGTATATACGAAGCAAGATGAAGGACCGTGGAGAAACAGAAAAAACACCCGCAGCTAACATGTCCCCTTACAACACTTCCATTACAGTAGGAGTCTCTATGGTTGTGATTCTCCTCTTACATGCTGGAGCTTCTGTATGGGCAGCTTTAAGCTGCATTATAGAACACTGAGCCACGTTTGGATGGTACGGCACGCACACAAGTTGCACCAGTTTAACTAGACTGATTTAAAATCAATTTAATTAAACTAGTGCAACTTTCCTCCCACAGACATGGTATTAGACTTGGTCTACACTTAGAAGTCAGGTCAACATAGCTATCTCAGTCAGGGGTGTGAAAAAACTACACCCCAACAGAGGTAGCTATGCCAGCCTAATCCCAGGGTAGACGCAGCTATGTCAATGAATGAATACTTCCATCAACATAGCTACCGTTGTTCAGGGAGGTAATGCTTCTATACCACCGCAAAATCCCTTCAGTTGCTGAAGGCTGTGTCTACGCTGTGCGGTTATGCTGGCATAGTTATCGGGATGTGGCTATGCCAATACAGTCTCTGTAGTATAGATATACCCCAGTCTGTTACAATGAAATCCCTGCAATTGCAATTTCCCTAACAGAAGGGTAAACAAAGTGTGCCATACCATCCAAATGTGGCTCAGAGTTCTAAAATGCAGCTGAAAGCTGCCCATACAGAAGCTCCAGCATGCAATGCTTCATTTTGCTTCAAGTGACCTCACTGGGTGCACGCAGAGACTTCCCAGTCTGAGCACATTATTTGACAAAGTGAGAATACCTGCACTCTGCTTTATTCTCTGCAAATGTAGGTTTGATCCTGGCTGTCAGCAAACAGTCAATGCAACCTCTGGATACTTCCTCTGGCATGTAAGAATGCAGAACATGTTCATTCTCTAAGCTCTTTAACATCTGTTTTCTCAGAATTAAGTACTAAAAAGATATAGAACCTCACTGGTTGAAATGACTTGTGACTGAAAAGGACAAATACTTCGGTTTTGTAGAAATTAAAACAGCAACAAACAAACAAACAAAAAATGAACATACCTGCTCTGCCCATCCCTCTGTTTTGCAGTTACTATGATCAAATTCTTTCAGAGGCACTTTTGAATGAACTAAGCTTATTTGGGTCTGGAGCCTCTGAATGACTGCCTTAACATCCTAGTGGAAAAAGAATATAAAGCAGATTGTGTAGAAAAGCATTTGATCATGCTATATATATGTAACAGACTTGGGTGGAAACTCTGTTTTACCTTGAGACCGGTTTCAGAAATATCCAAATAATTCAGCTTCTTGAAAGAAAAAAGGTACCCAATTCCCATATCAGTGATTTCAGGGTTACCTATAAAATCAAAAAAGATTAGATTAAGTTGCATGACTATAGAAGTGTGTCCTGCAAAACGGATTTTTTTAAAGTATTAAGATGTAGGCGTGGAAAAAAGACAATATAAATGTTATACTAGCAAGCAAGCAATTATTCCCCTGGTAAATATTTTATAAGCTATTCTGGCACATTTATATTAACATGCTCCATGTTTTGAAAGTTATTTGAAACTGATTTTTTTTTCCTCTTCAGAGCAAAATTAAGCTTTCATAGATCGCTTCAATTAGGTTAAGCATTATAAATGAATAAGCCATACTTGTGCATATGTAAATACACATTTATTGCACATGAAAACTAATGTTCTTTTAATGTAAGGCTTCAAAGTCAAGCACCAAAAGATAGGAAATGCCAGTGTTGAGGCTGCCTGTGCAACCTTAATCCAGTCCCCTGGGGTGTATGCATTATGATCCAGTGTTTAATTACATGGTTGCATATTTTTCATTCAGCGCATGGAATGGAGGCTGCTCACTTAATGAGCAACTATTCCTAATATTTTCTTTTCTCCTTGTTCAATGTGTGGCCCTATACTTTATTTACTGCATAATATTCAAACCTATTCTGAAGACAGAATTATTTTTCTCATGAGCTTTCCTATGGCACTCATCACAATAGTATGAGTGCTTCACACATTTGTTAATGTTCACAACATCCCTGTGAGAAGAGGGGGAATTATTATCCCCATTTTACAAATGAAGTACTGAGGCACAGAAATTAAGGTCAAAAGTATCCGTGCCTTTTGAGTGGCTAATTTGAAACAACTAGGACCTGATTTCTGAAACTATTTAGCATTATATAGCATTTACATAGTCAAAGCTCCCAGTGACTTCCGTTGTAGCTGTGAATGCTCAGCACTTGTGTAAGCCAGTCACAAGGGTCTCAGGTCAGGCACCCAGAGAATGAGGAACATGCAAGGAAGTAGTCACCTGTGAAAAGTCTGACTTTTAAATGACTTGCCCATTATCACACAGGGACAGAATCCAGTTCTCCAGCGCAGTATTCAACTACCTTAACTGAGAGACTGTCCTTTCTCTTTCTGTAGTCTCCTGCCTCATTCACTACACATCTTCCAACTTTTGCAAATGAAGCAGGAATCCGACAGACATCAGTATCTTTCAAAATACAACCCTGACTCATCCCCAGAGTAGGTCCAGACCATGCACTGAATGAGGCAGGGGTGCTGTGAGGGAAAAAAAAATAGTAAGTGCTCATGTAACTAAAGACTATCATACTGCATACTCACAAGGGGGCCAAATTAGGGTTACACAGACAGGAAACATCAGAATTACGGCTAACTTTTGAGTGCTTGACTTTGCAACCTGAAGTGTTTTTTAAAGTAGCATTTTGTGTGCAATTTTTTTAGGTTTCCGAAAAAAGCAAAATGGAAAAAAAATTGAATCAGACAGCATCCTCCTTCATACTGCCTGGTCCAGTGGGGGACAGCATTGAGACCACAGGGAAGACAGGCTCCCTGATCTCACTTCAGGTGCTTAGACCCAGCATGGCACAAAGCTGCAATTGCAGGGAAGGTTCTACTCAGCTCCAGGTTGAAGCATGCTCAGTGCAGATGCAATTGTAGGGAATTTAACTGCTAAATCTAAAAAAAGTGTTCAGTGAGCATGTGCAAACTGTAATTTTTCAAAGGCTTATAACTTGGCCAAATTTGGGCAGATTTTCACATGGTCAGCAAAAGGCCCATCTCTCACCAAAGGCCCCTATCTTCCAAATTTCAGGTCTCTGTCCAGAGCATGGAGGTGATAGAGCTTTTCAAAGCAAAGGCAGCCAGAATTTTTTTAACATGGGCAAAACAACATTTTTCCCTAGCCTTGTTCTTGGAAATGGCTGAATGAATCATTGTCCAGAAGAAATCAGCCTAAATCAGACACCGAGCATAGAATATTTCACCCCAAATGGATAAAGTATGGTAAAGTTATGAGCAACTGAGAACACATGATAGGAAGTGACAGGCAACCTTCATAACAGGGTGGTGCTGTGAGCCCCACCTATAATCAGTACCCTTTTTTAATGTCAAGTCCTGAAAATTTTCTTTTGATGTTGTATTTGAGACTAAGACTGTCACCTTAGTGCATGGCTACGCTTGCAGTTGTAGAGCGCTTTGAGTTAAACCAGCCTTCGGAGAGCACAGTAGGAAAAGCGCTGCAGTCTGTCCACACCGGCAGCTTCAAGCGCACTGGCGTGGCCACATTTGCGGCACTTGCAGCATCATTGGGAGCAGTGCATTATGGGCAGCTATCCCAGCATGCAAGTGGCTGCAATGTGCTTTTCAAATGGGGGGGCGGCTGGAGTTAGACAGGGAGTGTGTTGTGTGTATGTGGGGGGAGAGTGGGTTTTTGGGGGTCTGAGAGCATGTCAGCATGCTGTCTTGTAAGTTCAGACAGCAGCAGACCCCCCCTCCCTCTCTCTCTCACACAGCATTCCACACTAATGGCTTGCTTTGTTTCAGAGCAGATAAGCAGCCGGCTGTCAGAAATGGAGCTTTCAAAGCGCATTTCCGCATTTCTACAGCCGATTCCAAACAATGACAAGAGTGGCCACTTGACTTTAGGAGAAGCAACACCTCATTCACACTGGTGCTGCGGCGCTCCAGCGAGGGCGCAACAAATGTTATTCCACTCGCCGAGGTGGAGTACCAGCAGCGCTGTAGCCGCGGAGTCAAAGTGTTCTACGTGCCTTGCCAGTGTGGACAGGTAGTGAGCTAGTGCGCCTGGGACTCCTTTATTGCGCTGTAACTTGCAAGTGTAGCCAAGCCATTAGTCTTGTTCTCCGTGTAAAAAGTTTACCTGTCGAATAGTGACCATCCTAGCAGAAAGACTAGACAAAGGTTAGGTTCATGTCATGTAGTAGTAGTAGTAAAATACAAAACTTAGATTACAAATTTAGTACTGAGTCACTCAGCTTGGATATTGACGAGTTTGAGTTCCATTTTGGAATGCATAAATGTTCATTTAAATGCTGTATTTATGCCAATCAAGGGCCTGATTCTGCTTTCACTGACTTCAGTGCAGCAGGATAAGGCTATAGGTGCAACATGTGGCTTCTGGCAAGTTGTCGATGAAGTCCTTGTTTGGACTCCTGATATAGGGGCTAATTTTGAACAATTGTCTGCTTTCAATATTCACTAGGAGGAACCCTAGATGAGAAGTAACCATGTTTTTCTAAATTTAAATTATGAGGCACTTTGACACACTTACAAGACAAATCTAATACAGACAGATTTTCAAGTCCCCTTTTCATCACTCGAACTGGCGCTGTCATTTTGCGAAGGCCTGCATCTGACAAACAATTATCCTTCAGGAGGAGCCGAGTTACACTAGGATAAGGAATGTAAAGTTAGTTTGTAAAGGAATAATTTCAAAGTTTTTAGTAAAATTATTAGCATTTCTTGTGAAAAGTCTACAATCTTCCCTTAACACCTACTCAATCTACCACTTGTTTGCTGATATTAAAAGGACCAATAAAACAAGAGGCCTCTTTGGTATTTTCCCTGTTGCCTCTGAAGGCTCTGCTGAAGCAATTACCTAACAAACTATTGCCAAAGTTTCACTGACACAGGAAACACTGGGACACAACAGCTTGCTGACACCAGCAATAAGATTCTTTGTAACTAGAAGTTAAGGACAATTAGGCTTGTCAATTTCAAACCCATTCAAAACTGGAGAAAGAAAATCCTTGTTTGACATATAGGAAAGGACAAAATTGGTAGGAGATACAAGGAAGTATTGCAAACAAGAATAAATGAAATCCCCAAAAATTTATAGATACACTTCCACAGCATCCTTTTAAAAACAACCTTGCATCAAACACATGGAAGTCTTATGTAGTAACAACAGTTATTAATTCATAAATATAATTAACTTATCTAATAAAGTTCCACAATTTTCTACCTTTTAGATCTCTGGTAGCTTGAAAAGACTGTTATATAAACATTTTAGCAAACACATACTGGACAAAATACGTAAATTAGGAATATCTCATGCTGACATACTGATTCAGTTAAAACGATTATTTTGGTAAAGTTTTCTCCCAAAAAATCAATAAGCAAATTTAATAGGGAAAGTCTACAAGAGTTGAAAACTAAGTTTTGCAATATATATTAATATACTATATATTGAGTGTATAATATAAACAGAAAATGAAAAATATGCAAAACAATTGGTCTTTATATTAGTAGAGTACTTTTATTTCAAACTTTCATAATTGTAGATCATGTCTAAAGACTCAAAACATGCTTGGTATCATACAATTTGTGTTATTAGTTCTGATGGTTGCTTTTTTCACCTGAAGAAGAGAATTTATAAACAACTAAAAACCCCAATAAAAGTGTCTGTTGCCTGTAAAACTTTCCTTTAAAGAGACAGTGTGATTGTGATTCTGTGAATTTCTTGGTGATGGAAAAGAAAATGCTGGTCAGTTAAACATATAAATAAATTGGTACCTAGACAGAGCTTCTTTGGTGATATGTTCTAGCAATTCATGGTTATCTCCAAGTTTACAACAGGAAAGATCCAAGCAGGTCAGCTCCCTGAAAGACTTAATTTCTTCAAGTTTTTCAGAAATAACCAGATATCTGTAAAGAGCAGAAAGCTATCAACGTTTAGATGCATAAAGGTACAGTCCTAGAAGGTGCCTACTCATATTGGCATAATGCCAGCTGCCATGGGAAAAATGCTCATCATTATCTACCCAGGCTGCAGCCCATGTGGAACACATGCTCAAGTACTTACTCAGTGTCTTAGACCAACATTGTGGCTCTGATCTGACTCAAAAAATACTTTGCTCCATAACTAGTGACTTCAAATTGCAAAGACAGCTATTACAACTAGATCTCAAGCTATATCAGTCCAATTCTTGCAGCACTGCTTGCCAAATGGTAAAATTGATGTTTCATGGCCAAAAACAAAAGCCTTGACTAGAGAAATAAAGAAGACACAAAGATCCTTCAACAGAAGTCATCTTTCACTCATGAAAAGGGTAGTTCATGAGTAGACTGGCAAGAAATGTGATCATTCTGAGGATGAAGTGACACCTGGATCACCTGATGTTTTTTATTAAACCTTTCCTATATTGCTCATGCCACCTTTGGCATCCAAGCCTATATGCTTTGATTTATACTGATTCATATTTAAAGGACTGAAAAGACCATAAACTGTGTGAATGTACAAAAAAAACCCCAACAAATTGTTATAACATAGGAAGGTACTTCACCAGGGACAAGGTTTTAGAGGGGTATTATCCTATTTTAAGCCTTGTAGGGAAAAACTTTTCTTGTTGAGTTAGAACTTGTCCAGAGAAGAGTGGAGAGGGAGAACTTTCCTGGTCAAGGTGTATTTAATATGGAGGGCATGCAACACCTCTAGATACAAATAGTAATAAACTGTAATACTAGTCTTCTGACTTCAAAACCTGTGATATAATTACAAGGCTATCCTTTTCTCCCCCGTGCCTTAGGGGGTACTGATACCCTTAAAATGAAATGCAATAGAAGACATGGAATAGCCCCCTGGGACTGCGTGCTGGAACGTTTTGCTGGCTACACAAGTCCAAATAAATGTTTAAATACTTACAGAGAAGGATTTTTATTAGTTCAGACATAATTTAGTTATTAACATAACACCCCTGTGAGGTACGTTAAGTTAGACAAGCTTGTCTCTCTCACCAGCAGAAGGTCCAATAAAAGATATTACCTCACCTATCTTGTCTCTCTAATACCTTGGGACTGACATGGATAAAACTATCCTGCACCATACAAATGCCAAATGTTAGCATGTTAAAAATAAAGCTGTAGGTTTTATCCTTCAATTCCGGTTGCCGAATGTGTTCGTGTGGATTTGGAGGATTAACTGGCAGTATTATGGGTTCTGCATTACACATAAGAATTAAATCAAGCGCTATTTACCAACAATACTTTATGGAGTGAACAAATATAATTTAATAATCCAAATCAAGAAAATGTTTATATTTAAGTAAAAAAATGAAACACTTAAGCAACAACACTGGTGGAGACTCACGTTTACATAACTGAATGCACTTACCTATTCTGTAAACATAATGAACAAAGCACCAGACTTCCATAAGCCTCAGTAAATTTTTGTAGTGCTCTAAGTCCTGTAACTGGTTCTGTAAACTTTTGCCTTGCTTCTGCAGCAGAAAAAAGCTTTTCAGCAATCTGCTCTGGAAAGCCAATCAACGAATCAATATGATCAACATTGTCAGAAATGTAACCCAACACTAGACCGAAGAGAGACTTGGCTGAGTACCGGAGATTGCCCTCCTTAGTATAAGTAAAGATGAAATGATCTGTTCTCTCTCTCCTTGCGCTGTCATCTTCTCTGTTCATACAAAGCTCCACAGAGAATCCTTTGGAAAACAGTCTAAAAGGCCTTGGTTTTGGAGTGGCATTCTTTACAGTTCCAGAACCCTGATTTACCATGTACAGGTGCCCATTTTCACGCACATATATTGGGCCTGTATCCAAAAGGCTTTCTGACTTGAGGCAGTAAGACATTCCCCTTGACAGTTTCTGCAAAAACAAAATGAGAGATGGATAAATAATTGAAACAAATGATACTATTTTGGAAAGATATCAATTCCAAGTTACAGAGTAACAGCCGTGTTAGTCTGTATTCGCAAAAAGAAAAGGAGTACTTGTGGCACCTTAGAGACTAACCAATTTATTCATGCTCAAATAAATTGGTTAGTCTCTAAGGTGCCACAAGAATTCCAAGTTAATTTCCTTTGGTGCCCTAGGCAGCACATTATAGTGTACCCATACCGTACAGTGAAAGCTGCGTATGATACATATACACCTCAGCTCCCAGCAAAACAAATATGGGGACTAGAACTCAGGACTTTTGCTTCAGAATGACAGGTCTTTTCCACACACAAGTACTCCTTGATCAACAGTACTAACATGTTTAAGAGTAGCAGCCGTGTGGTGTCTGTATTCACAAAAAGAAAAGGAGTTCTTGTGGCACCTTCGAGACTAACAAATTTATTTGAGCATGAGCTTTTGTGAGCTACAGCTCATTACATTACAACTATTGCACACAAATAGTCCTGTACGTTGCACATGGGGCCTGCTCCTTAAAACGATGACTGATTAGGACTGAGGCAAAGTGTGAGCGCGCCACAGAAGTTTGCCCCATCTCCTTGCTCAACGCCGCAGGCCGGGCTGCGGGGGTTTCAGCTGCACTGCCATTACACCGGCTGGGCCTGCAAAAGGGGACACTTTGTCTGCAGGCACCATCGCCTGGCAGCGGCATGCCCAGGGGTCGGCGTCTGCCCCCTTCGGCGGCGCGGAGCAGCAGCAGCGCCTGGCTCTGCCTGACGCCGGGATGGGCTCGGCGCAGCCACCTGGCGGCCGCGGGCGGTCGGCGGCTGTTTTCTGGGATGCAACAGGCGCTGCCCGGGCCCAGGGGGCTCCTGCGCGGAACCTTTCCCCAGCCCGGCGTCTGCTGCCCCTCTGCACAGGGCCGTGCCGCAGGCCGCAGAGCCCGGCCCGCGCAGCCCTGCCCCGGCGCTGGCCGCGCCCGGCTGGGCCCCCTCAGCCGCCCGGTGCCCACATCGGGCGGGGGGGCGTTCGGGCCGCTCCAAGGCCTGGCCCCTTCCCCTTGCCGGGGTAGGTTCGTGCCCGCCCGCCCGCTCGCTCCTGGCGGGGCAGCGCCCCCTTCCCTGGGCCCGCCCCGCGGGGTCCGTCGCTCCGAGCCCGGGGCTCTCGCGGGCGCTGGGAAAGTTTCCCCGAGCCCCCCAGCCCGAACCCCCGGCCTACCTGCCCCCGCTCGGCGCGGCCGCTCGCAGGGCCGGGGCTCGACACAGGCCAGTCCCGCCCCGGGAGCGCCCCGGGGCCACAAAGGGGAGAGCGGGGACGCGCCGGGGGAGCTGAGCGAGGGGAGCGCGCGCGCGGGCACAGAGAGCCCGCGGGAGCCCCAGGCGGGAGCGCGCGGCGTCTCCGCCCGAGACAAGAGGCGAGTCCCTGGGCCAGGGGCGGGGACCCAGGGGAGACAGGGGCTGGGGTGACAGGGTAATGGAGGGGCTGTGGGGAGAGAGCCCGGAGTATGGGGCTGTGGGAGGGGCCCCGGGCATGAAGAGGAGACTCTGGGATTTGGAGGGGATATGGAAAAAAGAAAAGGAGGACTTGTGGCACCTGAGAGGCTAACCAGTTTATTTGAGCATAAGGTTTCGTGAGCTACAGCTCACTTCATCGGATGCATCGGGGCATTGGGAGGGGGCTTGGATTTGGAGGGGACATGGGGAGGCGCTGAGGAGATGTGGGGCATTGGGAGGGGGCTCTGGGATTTGGAGGGGACATGGGGAGGGGCTGAGGAGATGTGGGGCATTGGGAGGGGGCTCTGGGATTGGGAGGGGAAATGGGGAGGCACTGAGGGGATGTGGGGCATTGGGAGGGGGCTCTGGGATTGGGAGGGGACATGGGGAGGGGAGAGGATGTGGGGTATTGGGAGGGGGCTCTGGGATTGGGAGGGGACATGGGGAGGCGCTGAGGAGATGTGGGGCATTGGGAGGGGGCTCTGGGATTGGGAGGGGAAATGGGGAGGCACTGAGGGGAGTGGGGCATTGGGAGGGGGCTCTGGGATTGGGAGGGGACATGGGGAGGCGCTGAGAGGATGTGGGGTATTGGGAGGGGGCTCTGGGATTGGGAGGGGACATGGGGAGGCGCTGAGGAGATGTGGGGCATTGGGAGGGGGCCTGGGATTGGGAGGGGAAATGGGGAGGCACTGAGGGGATGTGGGGCATTGGGAGGGGGCTCTGGGATTGGGAGGGGACATGGGGAGGCGCTGAGAGGATGTGGGGTATTGGGAGGGGGCTCTGGGATTGGGAGGGGACATGGGGAGGCGCTGAGAGGATGTGGGGTATTGGGAGGGGGCTCTGGGATTGGGAGGGGACATGGGGAGGCGCTGAGGAGATGTGGGGCATTGGGAGGGGGCTCTGGGATTGGGAGGGGAAATGGGGAGGCACTGAGGGGATGTGGGGCATTGGGAGGGGGCTCTGGGATTGGGAGGGGACATGGGGAGGCGCTGAGAGGATGTGGGGTATTGGGAGGGGGCTCTGGGATTGGGAGGGGACATGGGGAGGCACTAAGTGGATGTGGGGCATTAGGAGGGGTCTCTCGGATTTGATGGGGACATGGGGAGGCGCTGAGAGGATGTGGGGTATTGGGAGGGGTTCTGGGATTGGGAGGGGACATGGGGAGGCGCTGAGGGGATGTGGGGCATTAGGAGGGGGCTTGGATTTGGAGGGGACATGGGGAGGCACTGAGTGGATGTGGGGCATTAGGAGGGGTCTCTCGGATTTGATGGGGACATGGGGAGGCGCTGAGAGGATGTGGGGTATTGGGAGGGGTTCTGGGATTTGGAGGGGACATGAGGTGCTGAGGGGATGTGAGGTATTGGGAGGGGGCTTGGATTTGGAGGGGACATGGGGAGGCGCTGAGGGGATGTGGGGTATTGGGAGGGGTCTCTCAGATTTGATGGGGACATGGGGAGGCGCTGAGGGGATGTGGGGTATTGGGAGGTGGCTCTGGCATTTGGAGGGGACATGGGGAGGCGCTGAGGGATGCCAGGAGATGATGGAGGTTAGTATAATTGCCCTGTCCCTCATATTTTCCAAAGCTTGGACTAGTGTAAATTTAAATTAAGTGATGGACATCCCGTCCCATGGGAAATTATTCCAGAGTTGACCTCACCCCTTTAGGAAACCTTTTTTGTGATTCAGCCTAAATTATCATGTGCTCAGTTTCATCCCACTATTCTTAGACTCCTCCATTGACATCCCTAAATGATTCTTCTCCCTCTTTGTTTGTTACCTTTTCCCAACACTTGCAGGCGGTTATCCACCCTAGTCATTGTTCTCTTAAATGTTCTTGAATAAGGCCTTCCAGTCTCCTAATTATTGTTGCCATTCCCTGAATTCCTTGCAAACTGTTTATAACTTTTTGGTGTTCAGCTCCCTACAACTGAATCCGTTATTTCTGTTGTCTCAGCAATGCGATATGGAGAAAATCTTATCAGTTCTCTGTTCTGTGACATAATGCCTCTGTGTATTCAGCTCAAAATGACATTGACTTTTTTTAGATGTCTTATCACCCTGCCAGCTCACATATAATTCATTGTTCACTCTCATGACAAAGACCCAGGACCTGTACCCACATAGATCTCATTGCAGGATTAGGGTCCAAAATACCTACAATCGGGAAAGAAATAGGAAAACTGATGAGATACCGAGGAAATAGGGGGAATACCAGAAGGGAAAAGGCATACTTTAACTTATAAAGATATTTATTGCAAGGCTTAACTATTTTTTGTAAAGTTCTCTGGGATTTCTATAGAAAGCACAAAGTACTATAATTATATATTATCATTTATTAGGAGTTTGGTTACTTTGGCAGCACTACAGCAAACACTCATGATTTTAAAAAGTATTTTTACTTAAATCCTTGTCACTATATTTCTTAATTAGAACGTAGGAGTTTTTGACTATGTAAAATGCATTTTCAGTCTTTTAATAAAGAATACAATTAGAAATGCAAGCAGCTACTCTTACTTTAGAACTGGAACTATTTGTGGGCAGCAGTGTGGTGTGAGGGGACTGTTTTGACTGTAACTCAAGAAATATCGGTGGTTGAATCATAGAGATCTTAAAAGAGACAGACTAGACTGTTGCTCATAAAGAGTGTAACATGGTTTCTCTGAATTCCTGTTAGGGACTGAATTTGGCTGCTAGGCAACAAGAGGACAGACACTTCCATTCAGTGATATTCTAAGAACGTTCTTTTGGTTTTTTTTAATCTCATGCAGGCTAACAAGAAAGGATGAAATCAACAGACCTGTGCCTTAGTTCTGCAGGGGCTGAAGTTGTTCTAGCCACATCAAGTGATGAAAAATACCCCCCTGAAAACATCATTGATGGGTAAGATTTGATTTTTGGTTCTTTATGTAAGTCAAGGTTGTTGGAGAAATAAAGTGCTTTGGTGTCATTAACATTCATTTGTTCTTTCACTGGATTTTATGCTATTATGTTTTTATATTACATTACATTAAAAGAACATTAAGGTGGCAAAGTGAAGCACTCAAAAGTGAGGAATTACCAAATTAAGGTTGCCAGTGCAACTTTACTTTGGTCCCTGTATGTATATGTATTATATGATACCGTATGTAATTACGTGACCACAAACTATTTTTCCACAGGACACGTGCCTTAATCAGTGCACAGGATGGACAGTACTCACTTAATGCACAGCTATTCAATATTTGTTTTTATCCCTGTTGTTCAGTTTGTGGCCCTATGCCTAATTTACTGCACGTTATTCAAAGCCTCCTCTGAAGACGGAATTATTATGCAGCCCCATGCTCTGGGTGACCCTAAGCCTTAGGCTGCCAGATCCTGGGACTGGGCAACAGGGGATAGATCACTTGTTAATTGCCCTGTTCTGTTCATTGGCTACTGTTAGAAGATAGGCTACTGGGCTAGATGGACCATTGGTCTGACCCGTTATGGCCATTCTTATGTTCTTATTAATTTCCTTATGGATTTTTCTGTGGTGTTCACCACTATAGTATCTGAATGCTTCACAAATAGTCCTTAATTTTCACAACATCCCTGTGAGATGAGGGGGCATTATTATCATCCCCATTTTACAGCTAGGGAATTGAGGCACACAGACAGTAAGGTAAAAAATGTCCAATAATTGTGGGTGCCCAATAGGAGACACATGTGGCTTGATTTTTCAAAGTACTTAATATTTTATTGCACTTTATGTGTTCAAAGCACATCTTCGAGTGATTTCAGTTGCAGCTGTGAGTGCTCAGTCCCAGGATCTAAAGTTGGCACCTAGAAAATGAGGAATCACAGTTGCCATCTGTGAAAAGTTTGGTTTAAGTGACTTGACGAGCATCACCTAGGAAATCTATGACAGAGGTAGGGATAGAATCCGTTTCTCCAGGGCAGCATTCATCTGCCTTAAATATAAGACCATCCTTTCTATTCCTACAGTTTTCCACTGCATTCACTAGACACCTTCAACGTCTGCAACAAATGAAGCAGGGATCCTACAGACAACAGCCTCCTTCACTGCACAATCCTGATTCATTCCCAAAGCACCATCCATCTTGTGCACTGAATGAGGCAGGGGTTCTGCAGAAAAATAGTATGTAGTCATGTAATTAAGACTGTATCATAATGGGTGGGTCAGTCGTGGTGTAATGTGCAGGTATGAATTGTCTTTAACTGCCAGAATTTGTTGTTGTTATTGAGGGAATGGGAAATGCAGCAGAAAGGAGAAGGGAGGGAATGACAATGAAGCTAATCTAAATAGGATCTTTCTAGGTGAGAGTCACTCAAACCCAAATTTTAGACAGGCTGTTGAACTGAGTGGCCAATGAGAAGTCAGATTCAAGAATCTGGGAATATTCTGTGATGAACAGACTTGCAAGTAGTAAAGGAAATAGAGGCTGTTTGTAAGAGAAAGAGAAGATATGGTAAACATTGATATTGTAATGAATCTTCAGATGTATATTGTTCCTTTTCAAAGGAGCCTAAATAGAAATTACTTTGCAGATCTCATTCTTTCACAAATATATCGTACTTAATGTAACAAATAAAAAGTTGTGTTGCTTTTTTTTAACAACAGAAGTTCAGAAACATTTTGGACAACAACAGGAATGTTCCCCCAGGAATTCATTATTAGCTTTCATAAATGTGTAAAAATCAGCAAACTCACAATTCAGTGTTACTTAGGTAAGAACGCAATGTATTTTCATGTTTTAATTTTCATAGTAGTATCACATTCTGCAGCTAATAGTTTAAAAAATAATACACAAGAATGTAGCTAAAACAGCAAACCAGTGATCCTTTGAGTCCAGTATGTTGCATGGCCCAATTGGGGAAGCAGGATATGCTGGAGAAAGATGAACATCTTTCCTAATAGTGCATCATATCATTATGATATATTGAGGAAGAGAATTATTTTTCCCGATTTGAGCTAGTGATTTATGCCTTGAAGCATGAGGATAAATTGACCTGATAATTTTAACCTAGCTAATGTAACTTTATTGTACTATTTCTCTTATAAATGATAATTAATAATTTGCTTCAAACACTTCAGTAAATTAATTATGTTTCATCAAAAAGTATATTCTCTTTATCTGTTTTGAATGTGTTGCTTTTTAATTTCATAGTATGAACTTCTATCTCCTTTGTTTACATTTTGTCAAATTTCTGTAATCATGTGAGAAAAGATATTATAAAAAAGAAAAAGAAGTATTGTGAACCCAGGAACTAGGAACTCAAGCTTTAGCTGATTTTGGGCAAATCACTTAAACTTTCTTCTTCAGTTTCCCCACCTGTAAAATGAGGATGATGATAAGATTACCTACATACCCAACAGGATACTGTTAACAAACTAACGTTGGCAAAATTCTTTGAAGATGAAAAGTCATACATGATGTTAAGTACTTTTGTTATTAGTAAAACAGTAATATGAAACTAGGTAGACTTCAGTGCTCAGTCTATGCTGATTTCTTTTTAAATATATTTTAGTGCGGAGTTTGAGGATTGAGAAAAGCTTATCTAAAGATCCAGTAGATTTTGAAGTGTGTACTGAAAAAGGTAAGTAATCAAATGTGGAGCAGCTCTGATTGGGTGGAAATTATGTTGGCCTTTATGTATTTGCTCATTGTCTTAATATTTCTACACCTTTAGAAGAATAAAGTTTATAACATTTGTTTGGTATACTGGAAAGGATTGTGATTGGCTGTTTTTATTACTATGGACATAATCCATAAAAAAATGAATATTCCATTAATGTTACCAGAGTGATATACTGGAAATCCACATTAAAATTATATGTGAAAAAACAGTGTGACTTGAAACAGTATAGCAATAGAACTGCCTTGTTGAGAGAGTTAAAACATTTTTCCAGAGCACAACAATCTATATCAGGATAATGTTAAATTGGGTACTGCTGTGCGCTCAGTAGGTATTTGAGGATAGGGGCAGAGGTTAATCTTTGTTTGCGAACTTTCACTCTTCTGTTAGTTTCTCTCAACCCTGAGTTTTGTAAATTTAGGTTTATATTTGAATGTTCATTATTTAAACTATCAGGAAACCCTGTTTTGTTGTTTAAAAAAAAAAAAGCACAAACTGTTATGCTATGGGCCTAATCCATACAAGTACTTTCCTTATGTGAGTGGTTCCATTGATTTCAATAGGGCCCTACCAAATTCATGGCCATGAAAAACATGTCACGGACCATGAAATATGGTCTCCCACTGTGAAATATGGTCTTTTGTGTGCTTTTTATCCTATATTATACAGATTTCATAGGGGAGACCAGCATTTCTCAAATTGAGGGTCTTGACCCAAAAGAGAGTTGCAGGGGGGTTGCAAGGTTATTTTAGGCGGGTCACAATATTGCCACCCTTACTTCTGCACTGCCTTTAGAGCTGGGCAGCTGGAGAGCAGCGTCTGTTGGCCAGATGCCCAGCTCTGAAGGCAGCACCCCGCCAGCAGCAGCGCAGAAGTAAGGGTGGCAATACCGTACCATGCCACCCTTATCTCTGCCTGCAGAGTGGGGCAGCCAGAGAGTGGTGGCTGTTGACTGAGGGCTCAGATCTGCAAGGAGCAGTGAAGTAAGGGTGGCAATACTATACCATGCCATCCTTACTTCTACGCTGCTGCTGGCGGCAGCTCTGCCTTTGGAACTGGGCTCCTGGCCAGCAGCTGCCTCTGTCCAGCTGCCTAGCTCTGTAGGCAGCACCACAGCCACCAGCAGCGCAGAAGTTAAGGGTAGCAGTATCGCAACTCCCTTTACAATAACCTTGCAACCCCACCCCCAACAACTCCTTTTTGGGTCAGGACATCTACAATTACAACACCTTGAAATTTCAAATTTAAATAGCTGAAATCATGAAATTTATCATTTTTAAAATCCTATGACCATAAAATTGACCAAAATGGACTGAATTTGGTAGGGCCCTATATATAAATGTTTGCAGGATTGGGCTCTGTGTTGGCTCCTTTGACATCAAGTGAGGATGGTGGCATAATGAAAACTAGAATAGCAGAAAGTTTAAAATGTTAGCTATATTTTATATCGCAGAAATTGAGTCATATAGTTTTTGACATTTAATAAACCTTTGTCTAGAAAGACAAAGGCTTTGATCCTGCCAATGCTTATGAGCCCTAAAGTTAAGCATGTGCATAAGTGTTTGCTGGATTGAAGCCTTAGCCAGTCCACAAATAATAAAACACTGAAAGTATGATGATGATGAGCTGTTTAAACTGTGTAACCATATGCCACATGTAAGAAAAATGGAAAAAATTAAATCCTGTGATAAGATTAAGTGTTCATTCCTGTGTCTTTGAATTATATTTAGTGTACTGAGGATGTTACGAAGAACTGTGCCTAACAATATGGGGTCTTGATCTCAGTTTGGCCCTTTATATCCTATTCAAACAGGCATAACTTAATTCTAATCTCAGCTATGTCACTGATTCACTCTGTCACCTGAGGTGGGCTATTTAACCTCGCTCTCTGATTGCCCAGCTATAAAATAGGGCTATTTTATTATTTATGTATTTATTATTTGTATTACCTATATTCCATAAATGACAATTGTGAGGATTAATTGTTTGTACAGTACTTTGAAGATATAAATTACTATATATGTGCTAAAAGTACTACTTGTACATTTTATCTAATACTCAAAAATTAAAAGCATATTTGAGTAGTATAATGCAACACAGTTTTTTGTATCTCATAGGAACATTTAAAAAACCAGTTTAATTGTTTGTATATTTAAATTGGAACATTACTAAAATGGTTTGTATTCTTTAATCAGCTTGTTAATAATTTTTGCATACAATGTAAACTCACAATCCTTAACTTCCAGGAACTTTCAAGTCCAGTAGAAACTTATCACAGCATTGTGTGTATATATATTAACTCATTGTTTGATATAAAATTTATTTTCTAGATTTACAGTACACAGAAGGGGCGCTTCAAACGGAAGAATTTTATGTGAGTACATTCAACATACAGCATTAGTGCCACATGTAATCGGGGTGGATAGACTAGTTAAAAATGCATTCAATTCGCGCAACTCAATACATGTTATTTTAGAGGTTTGGATACATCCCTAGGTCTTGGATATGTGCTTCTACATTATGGTATAAAAATCCATACAGCTAGAGCTCCTAACTTTGCTAAATATCTATCTGAAGAAGTGTGGTAATCTCTCTTGGTCCAGCTGTTGTCTTCAAAGTTTCATGAGTTCCAGGTATTCAAAGGAAAGAGAAGGGCTATTTTGGATTCCTCTAACCCAAGAAAGCTCTGAAAACTGACATGCAGAAATGTCTTGATCCTTCTGTTATATTTTAAATGTTAAATTTCTTTGCAGAAGCTTGTTGAACATTTATATTATTACAATGAAAATGATAAGCTCCTTTTCTCTTCTACAGCTTCCTGAATTCCAAGCTACCTACTTGCGATTCATCATCAAATCTGCCTTTGATCATTTTGTTTCAGTGCACACAGTGATGGCAGAAGGAGTAGCAGAAAATATTTAATATCAAATTTACACAATTGCCTCAAATATTTTGTAATGATATTTGTAGCATAAAGGATATATTTATTATTCAAACATTATATTAAAATGGATTTTTAAAATATGGCTCCAGTATGTTCCCCCCCCCCCAGCAATTTAATGTGTAATGCAGTATAACCATTAACTCTGATAATACATTTGTAGTTTTCCAATGTAGAGTACAAATGAAGAATTGCTTTTTGCTTAACCACTAACATACGAGTATAATTGATTCCACTTCTGAATTGCAATATGTTGATATTAAAAGGCTGTTTAAGATACATTGTTTTAAAATGCCATTGAATATTTGTTTCTCTGTAAAATATTTCCCTCACAGAAAAAATAAAAGTGTGAAATATTCAAACTTGAGGTCATTCCCCCAACCCTAAAAGAAGTCCTTCCAAAATTCATTAACATCAGCTGAGGACCCTAGGTAAGAAAAGAGGATGATTATAACTTCTACTGAAATATTTAAATACCAAGCTGAAGCCACTCGAGATGGTTTAATATATTTTAATTGCTCCTATTTAGCTCATTGCCTCTATAAATATTTTCTCAAATCAGGTCACAGCTGCCTTTGCTTTATGCTATGACTGTCATAAACAAATATTAATAGAACCAATGCTGATGTACATTAATACAAATTGTTTCATTCATAAACCTGCTGGGGTGTGTGCAAGTGAACATTTAGAAAAACTGCCTGTAAATAGAAATTTTTTTTTTTAAACAGTGATCAATGTGCAATCATTTGTTTTGTTTGCTAATACACTACTCCAACATTCATCCAAGCCATTTGTATGGCTTTTAATTAGTAATATTTATTTTATAGATTTCAGTTTCAAAAAGTACTTCAGTGACTAGTTATAACACGTTGTACCATTGCTGTCTCAGTGATACTGAACATTATCTGAATCTGTTGGCACCAGGATGCATTACTAGTAAAGTTTCACTGATAAGGCCATGTTTCAAAACTCAAAAGGATTAATCTTGCAGTCCTAAAGCAGGCAAAAAACTCCCATTAATCTCAGTGGGAATTTTACCTTCATCAGAGCTGAAGGATTGGGCACTAAATTAGAGGTGCATTCAGTGGAATAAAATATATTTTTTCTTGGCACTCACTATTTCATATTTTAATTACAAGAAATCTTGAGCTAATCAAGGTGTAGAGAATATAGACACAATTTATTTTCTGTTATTTAATATTAAGTTTTATTATATCAGATGCTACCTAAACTAATTAAGAATGGGTGTATGAAAGCCATTACACATTTGGAGTAACATCAGGGATTTTTTTTAGAGACAAGTAATTTCACTATATGAAAAATTTTGGACCAAGGGTGTATGAACAGGGTAGTGATGAAACCTATAAAAGCACTTTTGATTTCTGTACTCCTGTTATTCTCTCTCTGTTTTGTTTTACTTGTATTTCCTGTATACTGACCTGTAGCAGATGGGTACATCTATGACTCCATATCTGGGCTAACCTTCTTAGAGAGCTTTTCCATTAATTTCAAATGGTGTTGAATCAAGCCATATTGATGTCTGATTCTTGAATAAGGTGTAACTCATACTATATCCTTGTCTACCCATTTTCTTTTTCTCTTGGGTGAGTATATATTCTTTTTAACCTCTGATTTCTATAATTATTTTAAAATAAACAGCAGTAAAAATATATTTTAAAAAAGGCCAGAGCAAGTTGTTCAGTGACCACGTTTTCCAGATGGACCACTTTATTTTTGGGGCTTCTGATTTGTTCACCTATTTTAGTTTTTCCAAGATTGCACGTATGTCCTGTGGATGGTAATTCCAAGGTCCCACTCCACCCTGTAAAGTAAATAAAATACAGGATTGTTCAGATATACTCTATGGGGGAGTCTCCAGTGGTGCATAGTTGGCACAGCCATCTCCTGCCACACTCACCCAAAAGCCCTGGTGCAGGAGCAGGAGTGACCTGAGCGTGTTGCACTGCAACTGTGTTCAACTGGTAGATGAACCCTTGAGACCCATTTCCAGCTGTGCATAGGTTAGAGCAGCTTGCAGCAGAGCCTGGTTAGAGCAGCCTGCACCAGAGCCAGCTAGATCATCAGGGAGCCTTAAGTGGCTGCCTAATGGCCACCCTTTCTTCCGCACCAAGCAGAAACAGTACAGTAGAGAGTCTGTCCTAAAGTCTTATGTACAAACTTTTAGATATATATCAGTATAGTAAATTACACAGTAAAATAAGGTTTTAACTACTAGGAAGTTTAATGCTGAAACTTGAAAGATAATCTAAATTAAATAGAAGTAGATTCTTGTAACAGGCATGGTCTCCAGCTACCAGATAATAATTAGCACTTTATATCTATAAATACTATACAAATATTAACTCAAACTTCAAAACAGCCTTGTGAGCTAGGTAAGTATTATTGTCCTCATTTTATACATGAGTAGACTTTTATGCAGAGGTTAAGGCCAGCCAACAAGTTGGGGAAACAGCTGGAGTTAGAATGTAGGGTTTCTTTGTTTCCAGCCCTATGCTCAGTAGGCTTTCACTTTGTCTCTTTAGGAAGGACAACATAAATACTGAGGCAGAGCCAAGACATACATAAAAAATATACATCAATGCCAAGACTTTTTTGTTGCTAATCATTATTCAATGAACAATGTGCTTAAAGATAACTAACGTTTTTAGAAATGGAACACAATGAAAAATGTTAATCATTTGTCCATCCAATATGCTATGGGATATTACAGGGCTATTTTTAAAAGTTAAAACCACACTGTAATGTGTTCAGAGTTCATTACCTTATAGACAACCTTTCCTCCTTGCACCAGATAAAGTCTTTCTGGCAGAGCTGCGTATTTTGAACTGCTCAGGTTTTCCATAGTATCTAAAACCACTGGGCATAAAGGATTCTCTTTCAAAAGAAATTGTGCAGCCTTTTTTCGATCTTGAAGGTTTTGGTGATTTTTAATAACAATGTTGTTTTCAAAAGCCCATCCATCTTCCAAAAAAAAAAGAGAGGGGAGAGTGATTATATATTGTGTGTGTACATGCCCCAAAAATCAATTTAATAGAACGTTATCAAGGTTGCAAAGTCAAGCACTCAGAAATGAAGAAATGCCAGAATTAGGATTGCCTGTGCAACCTTAATTCAGACCGCTCGAGCATATGTATTATGATACAGTTTTCATTTACATGATCACATACCATTGAGAGCACAGGAGACACCATCCCCCTGCTCTGCTTAGGTGCTCAAACCCAGCATGGGTCTCAGCAGCCTGGAGCTGCATTTGCAGGGAAAGTCTTGCTCAGCCCCAAGCTGGAACATGCCCACTTCAGAAAGGATCTTCAGAAATGTAGCTGCTGAAAATCTAAGAAGTCTCTATTGAGCATGTGCAAACTGTGATTTTTTTTTTTTTTTAAAGGTTTATAACTTGGCCAAAGTTGGGTGGATTTTCACAGGGATTGCAAAAGGTATATCCCTCACACAAAAGCCACCCTTTGCCAAATTTCAAGTCTCTACTAAATCTGTCTAAAGGAAAGATTGCTGAATTTTTTCCTAGCCTTGTTCTTGGAAACAGCTGAAGCATTTTTCTGAAATTTAAAAAAAACGCCAGCCTGAGAGAAGACATCCAGCATGGAAAATTTCAGCCCAAATAGATAGTTTGGCAAAATTATGAGCAACTGAAAAATAGTTTATAAGGGGAAGTGTCAGAGAAACTCAACAGGCAGGGCTACTAGCCCTGCCTGTAATATTATGCACACTAATCTATATATGATATAATTCCAATAGCTAAGTTAATAACATGAGTAACCAAAGAAATTGCAAAACGTTTAAACTTACAGGAAGGCAGTTGTAGCAAAGAGGCGTGGCCTCCCTCAGAGATTGACAGCGAGGGAGGGTTACACATACCTACTGAATGTATCAAGCCCTTCATAAAGGAGATGGTAAGTGGGAAACTTTGAGTTCTCATACCACTCTGCCATTGACTCTGGAGTAAGTCACTTTACCCTATTTTTCATAACTGTCAGCATAATTTTGGGAGGCTTCAATTTTTTGGAGCCCAGCTTGAGACCTACAGAACCAGATATTGATCAGAGCTTGAGCACTGACAACTCCCACTGAGATAAATGGGATTCTGTGAGTGCTCAGGACTTTTCAAAATGAGAGCATAGGGTTGTCAAGTTGGGTACTCAAGATAAGTGGACCCTTCCAAACATGCAGGCCTTCATTTATCTATGCCTCAGTTTCCCCATCTATAAAATAGGGATGATAATATGCACCTTATATAGATATAGATATAAAAGTGAAACTCTCTCTGTCTCTCTCTCTGTGTATGTATGGTAGGCTTATAATGAAAGGTGGCGTCTGATTATCTTGAAGTTCTAGCTGTGTGAGTATCCGATATAACCACATAGGGATTTGTTAACCAGTGTAAAGTGTTAAATTATAACACCTGTGACAGAGGGAATTAATTTTTTTTCACATAACTTCTGAGTTAAAATAGATTTCAGAAGATTATTGCCCCCGTGACGCTGTAGGTACAATTTGAAATATGGTGTGTATATACAGGTTTCAGAGTAGCAGCCGTGTTAGTCTGTATCCGCAAAAAGAAAAGGAGTACTTGTGGTACCTTAGAGACTAACAAATTTATTTGAGCATAAGCTTTCATGAGCTACAGCTCACTTCATCAGATGCATGCAGTGGAAAATACAGTGGGGAGATTTTATATACACAGAGAACATGAAACAACGGGTGTTACCATACACACTGTAACAAGAGTGATCAGGTAAGGTGAGCTATTACCAGCAGGAGAGTGGTGGTGGTGGGGGGAACCTTTTGTAGTGATAATCAAGGTGGGCCATTTCCAGCAGTTGACAAGAACGTGTGAGGAACAGTGGGTGGGTGGTGGGGGAAATAGTTTTACTTTGTGTAATGACACATCCATTCCCAGTCTTTATTCAAGCCTAAGTTAATTGTATCCAGTTTGCAAATTAATTCCAATTCAGCAGTCTTCTGTTTCTGAAACTACAATTCATCGGTGATCTTCCTGAAAACACCATCCTAGCCACTATGGATGGCCCACCTTGATTATCATACACATTGTAAAGAGAGTGGTCACTTTGGATGGGCTATTACCAGCAGGAGAGTGAGTTTGTGTGTGTGTGTGGGGGGGCGGACGGAGGGTCAGAAAACCTGGATTTGTGCTGGAAATGGCCCAACTTGATTATCATACTCATTGTAAGGAGAGTGATCACTTTAGATAAGCTATTACCAGCAGGAGAGTGGGGTGGGAGGAGGTATTGTTTCATGGTCTCTGTGTATATAATGTCTTCTGCAGTTTCCACAGTATGCATCCGATGAAGTGAGCTGTAGCTCACGAAAGCTTATGCTCAAATAAATTGGTTAGTCTCTAAGGTGCCACAAGTACTCCTTTTCTTTTTGCGGATACAGACTAACACGGCTGTTACTCTGAAACCTGTCACTATGGATGTAGAAGCCCTCTACACCAACATTCCACACAAAGATGGACTACAAGCCGCCAGGAACAGTATCCCCCATAATGTCACAGCTAACCTCGTGGCTGAACTTTGTGGCTTTGTCCTCACCCATAACTATTTCACATTTGGGGACAATGTATACCTTCACATCAGTGACACTGCTATGGGTACCTGCATGGCCCCACAGTATGCCAACATTTTTATGGCTGACATAGAACAACACTTCCTCAGCTCTCGTCCCCTAACGCCCCTACTCTACTTGCAGTACATTGATGACATCTTCATCATCTGGACCCATGGAAAAGAAGCCCTTGAGGAATTCCACCATCATTTCAACAATCTCCATCCCACCCTCAACCTCAGCCTGGTCCAGTCCACAAAAGAGATCCACTTCCTGGACATTACGGTGCTAATAAGCGATGGTCACATAAACACCACCCTATACCGGAAACTTACTGACCGCTATACTTACCTACATGCCTCCAACTTTCATCCAGACCACACCACACGATCCATTGTCTACAGCCAAGCTCTACGATACAACCGCATTTGCTCTAACCCCTCCGACAGAGACAAACACCTACAAGAGCTCTATCAAGCATTCTTACAACTGCAATACCCACTTGCTGAAATGAAGAAACAGATTGACAGAGCCAGAAAAGTATCCAGAAGTTACCTACTACAGGACAGGCCCAACAAAGAAAATAACAGAACGCCACTAGCCATCACTTTCAGCCCCCAACTAAAACCTCTCCAACACATCATCAAGGACCTACAACCTATCCTGAAGGATGACCCATCACTCTCACAGATCTTGGGAGACAGGCCAGTCCTTGCTTACAGACAGTCCCCAAACCTGAAGCAAATACTCCCCAGCAACAACTCCCCAGTAACCACACACCACACAACAAAAACACCAACCCAGGAACCTATCCTTACAACAAAGCCCGTTGCCAACTGTGTCCACATATCTATTCAGGGGACACCATCATAGGGCCTAATCACATCAGCTACACTGTCAGAGGCTCATTCACCTGCACATCTACCAATGTGATATATGGCATCATGTGCCAGCAATGCCCCTCTGCCATGTACGTTGGCCAAACGGGACAGTCGCTACAGAAAAGAATAAATGGACACAAATCAGATGTCAAGAATTATAACATTCAAAAACCAGTTGGAGAACACTTCAATCTCTTTAGTCACTCGATTACAGACCTAAAAGTTGCAATTCTTGAACAAAAAAACTTCAAAAACAGACTCCAAGGAGAGACTGCTGAATTGGAATTAATTTGCAAACTGGATACAATTAACTTAGGCTTGAATAGAGACTGGGAGTGGATGTGTCATTACACAAGGTAAAACTATTTCCCCATGCTTATTTCCCCCCGACTCCCCCACCACTGTTCCTCACACGTTCTTGTCAACTGCTGGAAATGGCTCACCTTGATTATCACTGAAAAAGATTCTCCCCTTCCCCCGCTCTCCTGCTGGTAACAGCTCACCTTACCTGATCACTCTTGTTACAGTATGTATGGTAACACTCATTGTTTCATGTTCTCTGTGTATATAAAATCTCCCCACTGTATTTTCCACTGCATGCATCCAATGAAGTGAGCTGTAGCTCATGAAAGCTTATGCTCAGATAAATTTGTTAATCTCTAAGGGCCACAAGTACTCCTTTTCTTTTTGGTGTTTATATAGTTTCCAACTGATAGCCATCAGTACACAGGAGTTCTAACAATTCCACTGACTGGCTGCTACTCACTGCTGTTTCTGGTCCTCTAGTAACAGATTTCAGATCTCTGGAAGTGGAGTATGTTACTTAGAAATTTTAAACTGATTTTGAAAATTAGTTAGTCTGTCTTTCTCATTAATATACAAACAATTGCTAACCCACACACATCATTTTATTCCTTCAAATTGGTATGGTGTAAATACTATTTAAATATTTCAAATGTAAAATGGGTAACATAAGCAAGCTTTTTTAAAAACTAGAGAATAAGTCATTTTCAGCTGTTCCACAACTATTTAATAAGACATAGGAAGGTGGCACATTTTTAGAATGTTGGTAGAGTGGAGAGATTGTGTTCTGCAAGGCCTTCTCTAGCCTGGATAAATGGTATGGTTTTAGCTAAAACTGTAGCGTGGACAAAGCAGTACATATTTTTAATTAATATGTGCTAAACTGCTTAAATTAAAGCCTAAAGTCTTCCCTTTCACACATGTTAAAAGCAGTATGCCGTGTCTATGACGGACTTCTAAAAACTAATGTGTTGACTTCCTAGTCTAGACAAGGCCCCAAATGTTTTTTTTAACAGTAATGGGAGATGTCAACGATTTTTCTGTTGACTGGGTATATGTCACCTCAGGACAGGATCCAGAGGTAAAATGTCTAGACATCATAAATGACTGCTTCTTGGAACAGTTTGTTATGGAACCAATAAGAGGAGAGGCCATTCTTGCTTTAGTTCTGAGTGGAGCACAGGATCTGGTCCAAGAGGTGAATACAGCTGAACTGCTTAGTAATAATGACCATAATATAATTAAATTTAACATCCTCACAGGGGGGAAATTGCCAAAGAAACCCACGACAGTAGCATTTAACTTCAAAAAGGGGAACCACACAAAAATTAGGAAGCTAGTTAAATGGAAGTTAAAAGGAACAGTCTCAGGGGGTGAAATGCCTATAAATTGCATGGAAACTATTTAAAAACATCACAAGAGAGGCTCAAACTAAATATAGAGCACTCCCTCCCAAAAGAACAGAGGACCAAAAAAATGCCACTCTGGCTAAACAGCAGAGTAAAAGAGGTGGTTAGAGGCAAAAAGGCATCCTTTAAAATTTAGAAGTTAAATCCTACTGATTAAAATAGAAAAGACCATAAACTGGCAAGTCAAATGTAAAAGCATAATTAGGCAGGCCAAGAAAGAATTTGAAGAGCAACTAGCTAAAGACACAATAAAGTAAACAGCAGTAAGGCACCAGGACCAGATGGTAATCACCCAAGAGTTCTGAAAGAACTCAAATATGAAATTGCAGAACCACTAACTGTGGTCTGTACCATATAGCTTAAATCAGCATCTGTACCAGATGACTTGAGGGTAGCTAATGTGATGCTGATTATTAAAAAAGCTCCAGTGGTGATCCTGGCAATTACAGGCCATTAAGCCTAACTTCAGTACCAAGCAAATTGATATAAACAATAGCAAAGAACAGAATTATCACACAGATAAACACAATATGTTGGGAATGAGTCAACACATTTTTCGTAGAGGGTAATCATGCCTCACTAATCTATTAGAATTCTTTGAGGGTGTTAACTAGCATGTGGACAAGAGTGAGTCAGTGAATATAGTGTACCTGGACTTTCAGAAAGCCTTTGACAAGGTCGCACATCAACGGCTCTTAAGCAAAGTAAGCAGTCCTGGGATAAGAGAGAAGGTCCTCTCATGGATCAATAACTGGTTAAAAGCCAGGAAACAAAGGGTATGAATAAATGGTCATTTTTCAGAATGTCAACGTAAAGAGCGGAGTCCCCCAAGTATCTGTACAGGGACCAGTGTTGTTCAACATATCCAAAAATAATCTGGAAAAAGGGGTGAGCAGTGAGATAGAAAATTATTCAAGATAGGTAAATCCAAACCTGATTGCGAAGAGTTACAAAGGGATCTCACTAAACTGGATAGCTGGGCAACAAAATGGAAGATGAAATTCAATGTTGATAACTGCAAAATAATGCACATTCAAAAATGTAATTTCAACTACACATACATAATGATGGGATCTAAATTAGCTGTTCCCACTCAAGAAAGAGATCTTGGAGTCATTGTAGGTAGTTCTCTGAAAACAGCTGCTCAAGATGCAGTGGCAGTCAAAAAAGCTAACAGAATGTTAGGACCATTAGTAAAGGGATAGATAATAAGACAGAAAATATCATAATGCCACTATATAAATCTGTGGTACACCCATACTGAATACTGTGGGCAGTTCTGGTCAAAAAAGATAAAATTGAAAAAGGTACAGAGAAGAGCAACAAAAATTATGAGTATGGAACAACTTCCATAAGAGGAGAGAGTAAAAAATTCTGGGACTGTTCATCTTGGGAGAGACGACTAAGGGGGAATATGATAAGAAATCTATAGCATCATGAATGGTGTGGAGAAAGTGAATAAGGAAATGATTTACCTCTTCACATAGCACAAGAACTGGGGGTCATCTGATGAAATTAATATGCAGATGGTTTAAAACAAACACAAAGAAGTACTTCACACAATGCAGTCAACCTGTGCAACTAGTTGCCATTGGATGTTGTGAAAGCCAAAACTAAAACTGAGTTAAAAAAAGCATTAGGTAAGTTTATGGATGATAGGTCCATCAATGGCTATTATCTCATGCTCCAGGTGTCGCTATATTTCCAACTGCCAGAAGCTGGGACTGGACAACGGGATGGATCACTTGAGATTGCCCTGTTCTCTTCTTTCCCTTTGAAGCATCTGGCACTGGCCACTGTTGGAAGACAGTATACTGGGCTAGATGGACTGCTGCTCTGATCCAGTATGGCCGTTCTGATGTGCTTATATGCAGTGATGAGCTGCCAGAACCTGAAGAACTGGTTCCTTCAGTCGCTCCTGGTCTTTGGTGGCATTGAAGGGCCCGACGCCAAAGTGCCGCCGAAGACCTGGAGTGACTGAAGGACCTGCTGCCGAAGTGCCACCGAAGGGCCACAGGGCCGCCGGGTGAGTAGAAATTCTCAGGGGAGCCTTCCGAGCTGAGAGCTCAGGCGGGACGGACAGGACAGTCCCACGGGCCGCAGTTTACCGAACCCCTTTAACAACCGGTTCTAAACCAGCTTCAAAATTTAACAGCTGGTTTGCACGAACTGGTGCGAACCGGCTCTAGCTCACCACTGCTTATATGCAGACTAAGATCAGGGCCCAAATCTAGAAAAGACTTGCATGTGCTCAACTTTATACATGGGTATCTTCATATTATTTTCAACTGAACAACTTATGTGTAAAGTTTAAACATGTGCACAAGTGATTGCAGGATTAGGGCCCAAAACTGGTTCTTCACATTGACACTGTTACTTTGAATTTCAGTAGATTTTTTCCATCCTGTTTGCAGTTTCATTCTTCTCTCAAATATACTTTATTATTGAGTCATAGAGTTTAAGGCCAGAAGGAAGGACCAGATCATCTACTCTGACCTCCTGTATATAAGTGGCCACCAACACCACCCAGCACCCGGACACTAAACCCAACAACTGAAATAAGACGAAAAATTTAGAGCCCAGAGGTGACTAAATTATGTGCCACAGGCAGAGAATAGGAGACATGCAAGTGCACCAGTGCCTCAAACCCCTGCAGTGGCTGGGAAATGATTAAGTGATAGATACCTAGATAATCCTGGCAAGTGACCCACACCCACATGTTGCAGAGAAGGCAACCCCTTCCCCCAAGGTCACCGCCAGTCTGACCTGGTGGAAAATTCCTTCCTGACCCCACATAGTGATCATTTAGACCCTGAGCTTGTGAGTAAGAGTTAGCCAGCTAAACCCTGAGAGAGAGAGAGACTGGTCGGCGCCCTGGCCATCCTCATCTAATGTTTCATCTCCAGCTTTGACCATCTCTGATGCTTTAGAGGCAGAAGATTTAAAAAAAACACAGACTATACTGGGGGAAACATATTCCTTCCTGACCCCTGTGGGTGGCCAACTGAAACTCTGAAGCATGAACTTTTAGGAATATAAAACATAAACCAGAAGTAAGCTCCAGAGCGGTTGAGCCCTTCCCCCTACCATGATTCGGACAGAAGGATCCATATCTTATGCTTCATCATACATTTAAATGTTTTGCTTTCTATACTGTACCTGTTGCATGAGCTTCTTCAATATAGATTATAAGGAAATCTGCTATGCAGTTAAAATCTTCAACAAGCTTGTTGAACTCGCTGAATTTGAAAAGAAATGAAGGTCAGGTGCAGCTTCCAAAATTCAGGACTAAAGGCCTGTTGTCTGTAACAGACATGAAACGATTTTTAAGTATCATGTTAATTGGGTGATGCGAGAAAGGACAGCGTTAGGGTTAAGGCCTGGGCTCAAATCTGGGCTCCATTCTTAGCCTTTGACACACCTCCTGTATTATCTTGGGCAAAGTCACTGATCACCTGATTTTTCAAAGGTGCTGAGCTCTTCTGAAAATCAGGCCGTTAGTTTCTCTGTACCTCAGTATCAGTATATAAAATAGGCATAGCAATGCTTTCCTTCTCCTACCCCGGCCCTATCCGGTTTATTCAGACCCCAATCCTACAATAAGTTTTATGAAGGCAGACTCCTATACCCACACAAAGTCTCGATGGAGTCAATGGGGCTCCATACAGGTGCAGGCATCTGCCTAAATGGAGTTCATTGCAGGATCCAAGCCTTAAACTGTAAGCATTTTGGGGTGGCGGAACTCTGTTTTACTAAATGTATGTACAGCAACTAGAACAATGGGCTCTCAATCTCAGCTGAGGTCTCTAAATGCTACTGTACAGCAAATTAGTATGAAGGTACTTTAAAATATATTATGCATGTTCCTTAACGAATAAACCCCATGAAGGTCCAAATTTTCAAACCTGAAGGCCTAAATTTAGGTTCTCAAATACATTTGTAGGCACCTAATTATAACTGTCTTGATTTTTCAGAAATGTTGTGATCTCACAGCTCCAGCTGATGTCAGGGGAAGGTAGAGATTCTGAAAATCAGTTCCTTTTTATTTAAATGTCTACATTTTGTTATAGGTGCATAGTTATAGACATCCAGATGGGAAAACTTTAACCATATTTTTGATAATGTATCCCAGGCTTTCATGCTTTTAATGTGATTCAGCAATTTTCTTGTCCAGGCAGAACTCTAATTATTTGTTGTTATTATTTATTAAATAACTTCTGTACAAGCCACAGAAGTAAATGTTTCCTGCCCCAGATTGCTTAGTGCTTAAGGGCCAGATCCCGCAAACACTTATGCATGGACCTAACAAAAAGCTTCTGCACAAATATTTACAAGAACACTTTCTTGTGTTTGCAGGACCTTGATTTAAGAGTGGTTTCAGAGTAGCAGCCATGTTAGTCTGTATTCACAAAAAGAAAAGGAGTACTTGTGGCACCTTAGAGACTAGCAACTTTATTTGAGCATAAGCTTTCGTGAGCTACAGCTCACTTCATCGATGCATCTGATGAAGTGAGCTGTAACTCACGAAAGCTTATGCTCAAATAAATGTTAGTCTCTAAGGTGCCACAAGTACTCCTTTTGATTTAAGAGTGCTTCCAAGGACTTAAAAACATCTATTTTAGTCCAGAGTCATATAATGTAATCTGAAAGTGTGCATGATCTCCTTATTGGCTGTGCTTAATTTCAAAATCTGATGGTATCCTTTTATCCCACTCTGAAAAGGTCTAATCTTGGACCCACTTCCTAATACATTGCTCATATACCTTTCTGATTTTCAAACCATGCTATATCAATTTTGAAATTGTGTTTTTTGGGGGTTTTAAGCCCTGGTTAATATACTGGATACTAGAGCATGCAGGTTAATGATTAAGAATGTGTGCTACAAAGATCAAAAGTGGAGGACAAAGTACAAACCAAATTTTTCTCTCTCAGCATTATTTTGTAACAAACATCATCCATTTTCTGGACTTTAATCTGATTAATGATGGTGGTGTACAGGCTTTCTCCACTTGTGCATAACAGTATACAAAATATATTAAGTACATGGTTCTGGTTATATTTGCCTCTTCTTTCACCAGGACAAGTTATTGTATTGGTTTTCAGTAAATGCTTCCCCATAACATCCATGACAGCAGGCCACAAATTTAATAGCTGTATGCATTAGAAAACTGTAACAGTGCAGTAGCAAAGACAAACAAAGATTTTCTCTAAAACCACCAGAATGTGTACATGGTTGAGAAACTCCAGTGTTAGAATGTGATATATTCTTTTCTACTTAACAAATCCCTCTGAAGATAGTTACTTTTAATCTAAACTGCCTTGCAGATTCTGTAATTGAACCCTCTAACCATCACTTAGTCTCCCAATCGCCAGACATCATGTCTCAAACAGTCAGAATATAATGGTCTATTTAATTTACCATCCTAACCATGAGGACTCAACTTATTTGGATGATTGTACTGACCTTGCATGAAGTCCAGGATGTGATGCATTTCATCCCTGAAGTCTGCCACGGGGGTGTTGGGAGCATTATATCCTTCAAATGCTTCATCTTCCAGCTTTTTCCACTTCACTTTCAAAACAAAGAGTAAATATTTCAAGCTGAAGAAAGTCGGACCCCACTTCTCATAGCTGAACTTTGGATTGATGCCTATGCTGCTCTTTTGCCCCTGTTTTAGAATATATCTTTTCATCATTTCCGGAAACAATATCATCAGCATTTTACCAACAGCAACACACAGAGATACATACAAAAGAATCAAGGTCTTCTGTATAATGACCCTGATTCTGAACATTTTGTCTGAGGCAGACAGCCTGCTTCTAAAGGGAAACCGTGTAAGCGAGCGGGAGCAAAGGTAATGGAGGAGGGGAAATGAGGCTGCCGCTAAGATAATAGTGGCTGGAAAGTCGTCACGTGTCTGGCCACTACTACATTGTGTATCTTGAAAATAAATCAGGATGTTAATTGCAATAAAGAATGTTTTATTACTGTTAATTGTATTAATTGTATTAATGCACATTTAAGGCTTATTCCCAAATGGATTCATGCATTACAAATGAGAGGACTGACTTACATACTGGATGCTTTTCTGGCAGAATAAAGGTTATAATAACTTGGGACCCAATCCTGAAAATAAGCACTTGCTTTTACTCACATAGGCAATCCCACCGAAGTCACTGGGACTACTTGTGCTTAACGTTAAGTACATGAATAAATTTCCAGGTTTGGGGCCAGCTGCCTTAGCTCTTATAAAACAGTTTTCATTTTCAAAGCACAGGACAGTGGGGTGGGAGGAGGTATTGTTTCATATTCTCTGTGTGTATATAAAGTCTGCTTCCCTTTTTCCAGTAAAAAACTAATGAAAGGAGAGTTGCATCACAAAAAACTCTCAAAAAAAAATATTTTTTTTTTCTGAGGGGCCACAACTCCTCTTCTCTTTTTGTACAAACATTAGCTCATTAATGAATAAAGGCTCTATATGTTCAGCAAACATTCTATCATCCCTGATATTGTCATTAAAGACTTAACCCTTTCTTCTACGACCCCTTTCAACATAATTCCTGAAAGAAAGATGTATTTATATATGTCAGTGTGGTATAAAGAATTTATCAACATGAGGTATGCAGTTCACCCCAGCAGATCCTTGCATTCTGGAAACGCTACATAGATTTCCAAAAAAAAAACCAAACTATTTTAAGCATGTTCTGAAGCTTACAAAAACATCAGGACTGTTGCTTGAATCTCCCCTGCCCTGTTACTCCTTCCCTCCTGCCCCTACTCACCAAATAAATAAAATCAAATCCTAACTCTCTGACTTTACAAGAAGAAAAGGAGTACTTGTGGCACCTTAGAGACTAACCAATTTATTTGAGCATGAGCTTTCGTGAGCTACAGCTCACTTCATCAGATCACGAAAGCTCATGCTCAAATAAATTGGTTAGTCTCTAAGGTGCCACAAGTCCTCCTTTTCTTTTTGCGAATACAGACTAACACGGCTGTTCCTCTGAAACCTGACTTTACAAGTGAAGCGATCCCAGAAACATTCCTCCCCCCCCCTTTTTTTTTTTTTTTTTTTTTTAATCTGTAAAAATTCTTAAAGGAGTTGTACTGTGTGAGCTGTGAAGCAGCAACGGGCTGAGGATTTGTACGCGTATGTAAAGGTGCTGTTGGCATGAGCTTGGGGGGGGAGGGGGCGGTGCCTTGCCCAGCTCGTGCTGGTCACAGCTGCCGAGCACGCCATCAGGTACTGCCCGCGTAGCTGGATGACGCAGGCAGCCAGGCTGCTCCCACTGATCCCCTCCCCATAGCCTGCACTACCTCTTTAAGAAGGAGAGCGCGCGGAGAGCTGAGCTCCTGATTGGCCGGCGTTACCAACGGGGCTCAGGCCTGTGTCGGAGGAGAGGCGGGGGAAAGGGAGTAGCTGAGCTCTTGATTGGCTGGCGCAGCCAAGGGGCTCCTGTCTCTGTCACAGGGCGGAGCGAGGCCAGCCGTCAGTTTCTCGCTTCCGGCAACACAGCTCGGTCGCGGTGGCCTTGGTTCCTTCCGCTTCTCTTCTCAACGCCCGGCCGAGCTCTTGGAGGCCGCCGCCGCCGCCGCCTCACGAGCCGCTCGGCCCCGCCAGGTGAGAGCCCTGGCCCGGACCGGCTTCTTGCGGGCCGCGGAGAGCCTCCCCCGGCTGGCGCGTGCAGGGCAGGCCCGGGCCGGGGCGGCGGGGGGCAAAGGCCGGGTCCCGGGGCGGCGGGCTGGGCTGGGGGTCCAGGTGCTCCTCCCTTTCCCCTGTGCCCGGGTCCTTCCTCGCCTCCCCCGGCGGGTGCATTTCGGGGGGATGCTAGTAGGGGAGCTACCCCCGTCTCCTCCCTCCCTCCCCCCCCCGCCCTTTGTCTCCCGCACGGAGGAGCCGCTCCCCGGAGATGTTCCGGGATCCTTGCCAGACTCACCCCCACCTGACGTAGAGCGAACGGACAATACGTCCCCCGTGTGTGACGAGCCCAGGAGGGACTATGACCAGTCCCGAGCCTCCCGTGGGAGCTGCCTGTCTGTCCCTGCAGCCCTGGCTGCTGCTTGTGGCTTAGGGCCAGCCTGAAGATGCAGGGACCCTTGGGAAGGATGGAAACTGCCCCCTGAGTGTCCCCCTCCAGCTGTTCAATAATTTCTATATTTCTTAGTTGAGCGTCTGCATACGTACTCCAGAAATGAATTGCACTCTATAACACTCCTATGAGGTAGCTGAAATATATGTGCCCACCATGGAAATACACCTTTTCTGGGGTGAAACTGACTAACTGTGCACAGGAACATTGTACAACAGGTTAGGACAAGAAATGAAGAATATCACATTAATATTAACTACAGTAGGAGGAAAAGAAAGGAAACTGTAACTAGCCAAAGTGGTATTTGGACAGGATGTTAGGGATAAACCCTTACTCTGTGGTATTGGATCTTCATTACCACAAACATCAGAACTAGTTTTAAATCTCCTTATATGCCTGAGTATAATGACATTGTAATATCTAAACTTCTATGTTTTTGCAGGAAATCTTAATACCCTACCTATACTATTCATGCTGAAGAGAGCGGGAAGCTACAAATACCTGTTTCATCAATGTAGTGAGAGAAAAACTGCATTTAAAAAATATTTTCAGTCACTTATTTTTCATTTTAGATGTTTAACTTTTGATCTGCTATTCAGATATTTTAAAGCTCTGAATACTCATTCTAGAGCCTAGTGAATGAATGGCGACTGTGGATGATTTAAAGTTTCAAGGTAAATTGTCAAATTACACTTGGGCCAAAACTTTCATGTTAAGAAAAATGAACAAGTGACAGTAATTGATTCTTTTAAAGTGCTTGCAGCCTTTGCTTTGGTTCCCTGTGAATGTGAGTTTAAGTAACACAAGTTTACACAAATAATGTCTTTAACTGTTTCACTCTTGCATAGCATCTTTTTAGATGAGCATCTCAAAGAACTTAGGCGATTAAATGTTATTTCTATCTTGACTGAAAACATTGGTTATACTCATGTAAATTCGGAGCTGAAGCTGAGCAGAACTGGCTCAGTGGGTGCAGAGATGAGAACGTTCTCACCTATACATAGGATCAGACCTTAAAATGGACATAGTGTCAAACTTATTTTTAAAGATAAAGTTATTTCTAAAGCAGATATCTTTGAGGACTAAGGCTGTCTAATCATAAATCAGTTCTGCACAGGCAGCTGCCTGCACCAGTGCAGGGCCCCACTTGACTGGTTGTGGATATAAAGGTCTGTCCAGTGACTCTGACTGAAGGATGGGGAGCTAAGTCTGTGATATATAGTTAGCACACAGAAGGCAGACTAGTTGGAGAGAAGGCACAGCACTCCATTAACTGAACGAGCACCCAGCTTAACCTGAGCTAGTTGAGGCTTTAGGAAACCATTCACACTTGGCATGCCCACGCTAGTAACATGAACCCTAAGGCCTTGTCTACACTACAGAGTTTTGTGGACAAAAGTCAGTTTTCATCGACAAAACAGTGGAGGTTTATACACTACAGTGCTCCTTCCACCAACAAACTCTCTTGTTTTGCCAACAAAATAAAACCACCTCAGCAAGAGGTGTAGAAACAAAGTTGTCTTGACAAAGGCTAGGTATACACCGCATATCTTACAATGGTGCGGCTCTGCAGCTGCGCTGTTGTAAGGTGCGCTGTGTAGCCGCTTTTTATCTCTGGGAGAGCGCTCTCCCAGCGACAAAATAAAACCATCTGCACCGAGGGGTGATAGCTTTGTCGCCAGGAGCATGGCTCCCACTGACGAAGTGCTGTCCACACCAGTGCTTTTCATCGTTAAAACTTTTGTTGTTCGGGGGGACGTGTTTTTTCACACCCCTGAGCGACAAAAGTTTTAACAATAAAATTGTCAGTGTAGTCACTGCGCTTGGTTATGTCACTGTAAATGGCCTCCAGGAGGTGTTCCACAGTGCCCATCCTGACTGCTCTGGTCAGCAGTTCAAACCCCACTGCCTTGTACCCAGATACACAAGTGTCTGCATCTCCCCCTTTAAAAGTCTGGGAATTTTTGAAATTCCACTTCCTGTTTGCTTGTCATGGAGAGCTCACATCGCATATTCGCAGCTGACCATGGTGGCTCCACGCAGCAAACACTTTCCCGCTTGGAGCACACTTGAGTTGTTGGATCTGCTGGCGCTGTGGGGAGAGGAGGCTGTGCAGTCCCAGCTCCACTCAAGCCATAGGAACTTTGTGGCATGTTGGATAAGGGCTACAAACGAGACACACATCAGTGCCGTGCAAAGATAAAGGAGCTGAGGCAGATGTACCAAAAGGCAAGGGAATCAAACCGTTGCTCAGATGCTGCACTGAAGACCTGCTTCTATAGGGAGCTGGATGCCATCCTCGGCGGCGAACCCACCTGCATCACCAAGAGCCCCATGGACACTTCGGGGGGGCTGGAGACATCAGACTGGATTCAACCCTGAAAATGAAGTGGTGAACAAGGAGGTTGAGTTGGAGGATGAGATGTGAAAGGTGACGGGCTGTCCTGTACAGTGGCAGGCCAGGACCTCTTCTTGACCCAGGAGGGTTCGAGCCAGTCCCACCACTCCATCTCTGGCACACATGATGCAGGAAAGAGGAGCTCTGGTAAGTGATCTTTCTGAGTTGATGCTGCTCAGCTATATGAGGTATAGCTGTCCTTTGCTTTGTTGTATGCTAGAAGTGAGTTAAGGGATAGAAATATACACAACTAGCTGTGTCTGTGTGTGCTTCACATTCCCCTGTGCAGCTACACAGTAGGGCGGATCCATGTGTTAATGCACACTAAGATTTCATGAGAATCCTCCAGCGAGATCTCTGGGAAACTTTCCTGGAGGTACTCACCAATCCTCTGCTGAAGGTTCCTTGGCAGAGCTGCTTTATTCCTTCCCCCATTGTAAGAAACTTTCCCACTCTAATTGTCAAACAGGCAACCAGCATAGGGAGCAGGTCTGAAGCCGCATGCCTGCAGGAGATTTACCCGTGCGTTCTTGCTTGCTTTCAGGAGTGAGATATTGGTTTCAGTGACCCCCCCACTCCTGTAGAAAATGGTGGCAGAATTTACAATTTTGTCCCTAGTCATTTGCAGTGATCCCCTTAAAAAAACACCTAGATCCTTTGCCCTATCTTTTGTCCCCCCTTTCACCCTCGCCCCGGCTGAACTCACCATGTTTAGGGTGTTCCCTTAGCTATGTTCTTGCCAAGGGACAGTGAGAAACTGATTTGTATTTTAAAAGAGGTGTATTTTACTATCATGATATGATGCTGTCATGATTCGATGCTGTGAGTGCACTAACAATCATGCTTCTGTGTATTGTTTCTTGCGCTTCTGTAGACGCCTTCAGGAGAACCCCCTATGCACTGGCGAAGTGGGTGAGGAGGAGCAAGAAAGACCCGTTTTGAGAGGTGCTCCAATCCTTAGACACCGAAAAACAAGAACACAGGGCGTCGAGAGAGACTGTAAATGAAAATTATATAATACGCAGGACAGGAGGGAGAGCCAGGAGCAATTTTAATCGGCCAGAAGTGGATGATAAAAGTGATGGAGGAGCAAACGGAAATGTTGAAATGCCTAATTACTCTGCAGGGGCTGTTGAAAAATGGTGTGAAACGCAATCAGAAGCCCATGGAATGATGGGACAGAAAAAACTGCATCATGGGCTGTTGAGCCCACACCCATGTTGCACTGCAATCCACTCTGTCTTCCCACAACTCCTAGCTGCAGCAGGTAGCGAATAGCACAGTGGGATAGGTACCCACAGTGTACTGCTCTCTCTCGATCTCTCTGTCAGTCCCTAGAGCATCAACTAGGGATGCGCGCCACTGACAGAAGGAGTGTTGTGTGAACATACACAAGCAATGTAATTATAGTGGTTTTGGATTGTTGGTGTAACTTGCATCAACTAAACTTCAGTGTAGACAAGGCCTAAGGATTGATGATATATCAGTCTTAAAATGAAGCTTTTTTTTTTTTTTTTTTAACCTTGAAAATCACCTTTGTTGTAATGTGCTTATTTTCAGAATTTGATGATGCAGCTAACTTGCTGGCAGGAAACCCAGATGCCACCACAATAAGTATTGATGAGCCTAGTGAAAACCCCAAGAATCAGTATGGCCTTCTGCAAGACTCTAGGAGAGAGGAGGATGATGAGTTACTGGGGACTGATGACTCAGATAAAACTGAGGTAATAATAACACATTTATAATGCCCCCATCAACATGAAGTATCTAAATACCTTTTACAACAGTCAACACTTTTTTATCAGGAAGGAGCAGGGAACTTCTTTGGTGGTTCTTTCAGTTCTGATGGAAGTACATACTTTAATTCCCACTTACACCTATTATAAGGTGGCGACTGGAAGAAGCTCAGATGTAGTTGACTTCAAGAGACTTGGTGGTAATTCAGCATAAGGGGTGGGGTTGAGGTTTTTAGACTTGAAAGGCTAGTTGAACAAGACACTTAATTATTAATGGAAGTTATATTACTTGTAAACCTCCTAACCAAAAAGGAGGTAGGAATCTCAAAACTATTTGCACATCTAGAATATGCAACCCCATAGAAAATATCTTCTGCTGTTAACAAATACCAGAGAAAGAAAGAGAGAGAATAATGGGAAGTAAGAGAATTATTTCTAACTATGGTGTAAGTAATATTACTGGGCATTAAATGACTTACTAAATAAATTGGATGATTGTAATAATTTCTATTGAATTATCTTTCCTATTTACAAGTTACTTGCAGGACAGAAGAAAAGTGCCCCCTTCTGGACATTTGAATACTACCAGACTTTCTTTGATGTGGATACATATCAGGTTTGTAATTGTTCTTCATATTAGTTCTTACTTCACACAAAGGGAATTACAGCGGTTTAACAGTTTTAACTGTGGACTAATATTTATAGATGCTTTATAGTTATTTCATAGTGCATTTTCTCGTTTTCAGTAACATGATTGTATTTTTTTCCTAGGTCCTAGACAGAATAAAAGGCTCGGTTTTCCCAATACCAGGAAAAAACTTTGTAAGACTATATATACGCAGCAATCCAGATCTTTATGGTGTGTACCAATTGTAACATTAACCTTATTTAATAGCTACATTACTGAAATTCATTCTTTTGTTAAAATTAGTACAAGGGTGGGGTGCAGTAGAACTACCTTGTTGTTAAATTGATTTGTTTCCATTTAAGGTCCATTTTGGATATGTGCCACATTAGTCTTTGCCATTGCTATTAGTGGTAATCTTTCAAATTTCTTCATCCATCTGGGTAAACCTGCATATCGGTATGTGCCTGAGTTCAGAAAAGGTGTGTAAGTAGTTCTCATTCTTGTTTCCTTATCTCTTAGGGTTTTTTTTTTTTTTTTAAACAAATCTGTATGTAGAAGTCATAGCTTTGCTTTATCTTAACTTTTTGATAACGGTCTCTTTCCACTTCCAGAGAGATGCAAAAATAATTAAAGTTGTAGGTGTATAGACATCTCTTGATAGATAGTGTTCATGTAAGAAGTTAAATAGAATTTCAGCAGATCATACAGTAATAATCACTCAGTCCACTTAACAAAAGGCTTGAAGTTCCTACTTCATGATGGGATACAAAATCAGTAAAGAAAGCTTAATCATTATGAGTTGCTCTAATGAAGTTAGAGAGTGGGTAAGCAATTGCCTGTCCTTTGGCTCTCATTTATATTGTGAAAGAGAATGCAATACCTATAAAAGAACACTTGTTTTTAAATGCATGACATATTTAAAGGTATATTGTCAATTTAAAATAAATGAGTTAAAAGTAGCTTCAGATATTACACCTCCTGAGCTCTCCTCCCAGTTTTTGTGGTCCTTAATATTCTTTTTCTATTTTTTTAAGTGGGTTTTTCTTTCCATGGTTCCACACAAATGGCAAATTGAGTACCCACAGAAAATACTGAAACTGATGTCATTTTTATATAGTCAAAATAAAAACACTGAAAACAGGAAAAAAAACCTTTCCCCTATAATCTTAAGCACTAATTTATAATAGTGGTAGACTTTTTAAAAAGAAAAAGAAGAACAAAAAAAAAAGACAGAAATGCAAAAGTTGCCATTGTTCCTTAAAGTAATCTTAGTTGTTCCTAGTAGCACTTTAATTTGAAACAAAAAATTCAATTAATGATGGTGTTTAGTGTTACTAAATCTCTTTAATGTCTCTTTACAGTGTCCATAGCTGCAACAGCTATCTATGCTTATGCTTGGCTGGTTCCTCTGGCTCTCTGGGGATTCCTTATGTGGAGAAATAGCAAAGTTATGAGCATCGTCTCCTACTCGTTTCTTGAGATAGTGTGTGTCTATGGCTATTCACTCTTTATTTATATTCCAACAGCTGTAAGTATGGCCTAAAGAGCATCGTCCAATGTATTCTGAAACATCTCAAGAATTTTTATTAAATGTTGTCTGAATGGAAAGTTTACGTGGCTATGTTGGCTGGTATATGTTTTTACCTTCCAAATGAAAAGATTGGCTGGAAAGTACATGACATTCATATGTGTATCCTGTGAGACATGAGTACTCTAACTCCTTAAATTATGTAACAGGCTGCCTATTGTGTATTTATGCCATTTATCTCTGTTAGATGGAATACTAGACCGGCTTATCTGTGTAATGTGTTCCTTCAGTGGCTGCAGCCTACAGGACATAGAGTTGGCAACCTAAAAAATGTCAACAGATTTTTACCACTTACACTAGAATTCTTCATTTTAGAGAATATCTCAGGGACTGGGAAATTCTTTCAAACCAGTGGAACTCTTATTGAAGTGCTCTCACTGTAATCTTTAGTTCTTATTTGTTACAGTTATTTCATTGGTTCCAGCTAGTAAACCTTGGTACTGATACAGCTAATGGAGAGTCTCCTCTTAGCTTGGGTGATAGAAGCCTTTATGTTTTGGTTCCAAATGAAGCGTGAATAGTACCTGCTAACAGTTCTGGTGAATGGATGTGATATATGGAGCTGTTATGCTATAAATAGTGACTTAAATAAATATATCTTGATATTTAATAAGGCCTTTTCTCTCTCTCTTTTTTTAAACAGATTTTGTGGATTATTCCACAAAAAGCTGTACGATGGATCTTGGTAATGTTTGCTCTGTGCCTTTCGGGGTCAGTTTTAGTAATGACATTTTGGCCTGCTGTTAGAGACGATAACCGAAGGATTGCACTGGCTACTATGGTGACTGTTGTACTACTTCATGCCCTGCTTGCTATTGGTTGTTTGGTATGATAATGTTCTTTCTTAGCATCTAAGATATATATTATTTGCATTAAATCAATCTGTACAATAACCGCTTTATATTAAAATCAAGGGGGTTTGTGGAGCTTTTTGTTTTAGCAGATCTCTTGATAATTGCAAAGCATAAACATAAGGATGTTGTTCTAAAAAAAAAAACTCAATACATGTGACAAGCATGAATATTCAAACATAGCACAAAATGTTTTGTAGATCTCTCTCCTAGAGTTTCTACATAAAAGTAGCAATGATGGTTACATTTTTAGCATAAATTGTTCCTCATATAGCAGTCTTAAGTATCCCTTGCATTTATGACAGCAACCTTTTAAAGCATTAATCTGTATCATATGCAATTAACATCTAATTCAGGTAAGTATAAAGGTTATTCTTTTAAAGATGATAAAATGTTCAGTGTATATAGTGTTTTCTATTTATGTGTAAGATAAAAACTTGCTATCTCTGTAAACTAACTAGCTCCAGTAGAATAACAGGAAAACCTAGTGCTAAGTGTAATGAAGAGAACATAAACTACTTCTAGTTTTGTTCCCCCTTTTGTACAAAGCTGAGGAGGCATCATCCAAACTTCAGGTTTGAAATAGCTAGATTCTTTGCACCACAGGTTCAAACCCAAGAAGGTCTGTTAAACCCTTTAGCCTTCCAAAGTACATAAATTCAGTACAATGCAAATTACAACGTATGGAGGTCATAATCCTGGCTCCAATGAAGTCAATAGGAGTTTTGCCATTGACTTCAGAGGGGCCAGGATTTCACCGGCAATCTCCAGCGGAAGTTCAATGGGGCTTCTGTGTGGTGGGTATTTTTCTTTTCTTCTCCAACAGTAAAATTACAAGCAACCAAATAAACTGACATCAAGATCCTTCCACAGAAACCCTTTGAATTAACAATGTGTGACTTTTTGAAAAGAGCTAAAATTTGCCTAAATGCTAAAACTGTATCTGCGTAAAATATAACTTGTGAAAATGAACATTTCAAGGTGAAGTTGTGTCTTGTTTCTAACTCTCACTCCTACTCCCATCTAATAATGTAGGCATACTTTTTTGATGCTCCTGACCTGAATGTTCTTATACCTACTGCAGCTGCTCAAAATGGAACAATAGTAGCAACAAAGACTCAGTAAATAAGGTAAGAATCAAATCTAAATTTTCATCTCTATAGTCACTTTTTTCAAAAATCTTACCAATATTAGGAAGACAAATGTCTGGGGCCATTTTTGCTGAACTTGTGTTACTGCACATAAGTTGGAAAGAGTCTGTGGGTCTTATTAGAAATGTTGTGCTGATCTGTACACATATACCATTCAGTATTCAATAATTTCCCCTTTTAATATATATTATGGCTTTCAAAATAACTCTTCCTTAGATGCTTTACCTTTTCTTGATGTTTACCCTCAGTAAACAAATATTACCAAAAAAAAAAATTCTACTTAATAAATATTTATTTCTGCTAAGAGTTTTAAGTTGGGGAAAAACTATGTACTTGCTGAAGGGCTAATAGAGGTTATTTAAAAGTAAATACATATTGTGCAAACCAAATTCTTTAAAAAAAAAATAAAATAAAAATTAAGGGATAATAAATTGTACCTTTGTTTCATTGTCATTCAAATCAGAAGATAGGGGAATGTCTAACCTAACTTCTACATGATAGTTTTCAAAGCACCAGCTTCTCTATATAGGGAGATTGGTGTTCTCTCTGAACATGTTTCTCTTGGTATCTGAGGCATATGGACTGAATTCCTTGTGTGGGATGGTGTGAATTCTTGCTTCCTGATAGCCAGGGATACTGCCGATGCCATAGGAGCTGGTCCATGGAAGGCTGAAGACCAAAGGGGGGGTAGGGGTGTGTGTGTGAAAATTAGTAGAGCATTATTAGTACTTATTGATTAGCCACTTGTTCTTAGACTTCTTTTCAGTGTAACCAGTTAATCCTAGCAAAGATCAGGCGCAATCTAATTACCCTTACTTACCATGATTATCGATAATGAATAAACTGAAGATTTTACGTTCCTCCAAAAAGTAATTTATCCCAGTGGCTAATTGAATTCTGCAATGGTACGGCAGAACCCTTTTTAGACACAAATGCATGTACACTCTTTAATCTCTTGTCTGTGGAGAATTTTCATATTGATTGGTCCTACTTCTCTGTTTTTCAGATTACAATGCCTGTATTCCCCATCTGTACAGTAATTTTATTTTAGATATTTTTTCACTGAAGAAAATGGAAATTGCAAAAACTGAAAAAGAAGGAAGAGCCAGTACAGTTACATGACTCATGGACATCTAAATGCTCATCAGAACGCTACTAGACTTCTAATACTGTTGATCTTATTCCTTGTACAGGGATTTTCTTTTTTCTTAATTTCTGCATACCTTGCACTCATTGCAGTGTATATCTCAGAATAAAATGCTCCTGAGGGTGGTTTTGAATTTTAGTTCTTTCACAGGTGAGAGATGTTTGTTAATGAACTTTTTTCTGAAGAGCTTGTACAATTTCACTTCTGTCAGTCTATTGGGATTTTTCATATTTCAGATAATTTCATTTTACAAGACTAAATTACAAACTAGGATGGAGGAGAGAATTTTGCTGAGTTAGTTTTAAATCACACTTTTTAAAAATGTGCTTTGTTTTAAAAGATCATTTTAAGGTTGCACATCAAGCGTTTGCTGCCAGACTTAAGGTTTCCCATGCAACCTTTATTTGGCCCCCTTGTGTGTATGCATTGATAGTATGTGATTGTGTAATTAGTGACAATTTTCCACAGGACCTCTGCCTCATTCAGTGAACTCAGCAAACGGTTACTTTCACTATTTATTTTTATCCCTCACATTTCATTATTTAATGCACACAATCCAAGCCCCACGTTGAATATAAAATTAATAATTTCATCATGGGGGTTTCTCTCACCATAGTGGGTATAGCTGTCTTTTGAGACTGAGGTGAAACTTCTGGTTTGAGGAGATATACCCATGATAAAAATAAGAATGTAGCTGCCGTGGCTCGAGGAGTTAGACACACCTGCAGGTGGCTATCATCTTGGAGGGGTAGCCGCTCGTGCCACCGTGGCTGTATTTCTGTTCATAGTGTACTAGCTTGATGAGAGCTGGCATCGGTATGTCTCTCAAGATGGAAATTATACCTCCAGATTGAAGTAGAGACATACCCACAGAATGCCTTGTATGCCTCTCTGAGATTAAGTGGTAATATTGTCCCTATTTTACAGATGCAGAGTTGAGCCAGAGTATAAAGCCAGAATTGTCAAGTGTTCCCTATCTTCAGGTTCCCAATTTAAAATACCTAAGCTCTAATTTTTTCCTGAATACTTATTTTTATAGCAGTTCATGTGTTCAAAACACGTTTCTTGACTTCAGTTGCAATTATGAGCATTAAGCACTTCAGTAAATTTGAAACCAGGTAACTCAGGTTAGGCACTCAGATTTTTGAAGGTTTACAGCTTGGCCAAGTTTGGGAACTTTCACAACGACTGCAAAAAGCACACTTCTGGCATCAGCATGACCTCCCTTCCAAATTTCAAGTACCTGCTCTAAGGCATTAAAGTGCTTTAAACTTAAAGGGGAGGGGGCGCCCATACTCAACGTGAGAAACTTGAGTCTAAACAGTTTGGTAAGTTATAAGCTAGAGCTAGCTCAAATTTGTTCAGCAAATAGTGAATGTGCCAAAACACGTAGTTTCTAGGCAATCCAATTTATTTGTGAATTCAGCAATTATTTTTGACTGAATTTAAAAAAGAGGGGGAGGATGGAGACTTTTAAAAAGTTGAGTAGAAGTGACATTTCTTTCCAAAACGTCAATTCAAGTCAATCTGAATGAAATTTTCAGTTGTTGGTGAGGAAAAAAATGAAAACTCAGATTGAAACTTTTTGTTTTTCAGTTCAGCTACCACACTGAAAAATCCATTATTCACTCAACTCTATTATAAACAACTACCAACGCTTGTAAATGGGTAATGGCAGGCAGCCTTGCCTATAGGTGACGCTACCAGCTTCACCTATAACGAACTCCAGAGGTTATTTAAAATGAGGGCTGTCAATCGCAATTAACTCACACTATTTAACTCAAAAAATTAATTGTGATTAAAAAAAATTAATCGCACTTAATAGAATACCCTTTATTTAAATATGTTTGGATGTTTTTCTACATTTTCAAATATATTGATATCTATTACAACACAGAATACGTGTACAGTACTCACTTTATATTTTTATTACAAATATTTGCACTGTAAAAATGATAAACAAAAGAAATACTATTTTTCAACTCACCTCATACAAGTACTGTAGTGCAATCTATTGTGAAAGTGTAACTTACAAATGTAGATTTTGTGTTTTTTGTTGCATAACTGGACTCAAAAACAAAACAATGTAAAACTTTAGAGCCTGCAAGTCCACTCAGTCCTACTTCTTGTTCAGCCAATCACTAAGACAAAACAAGTTTATTTACATTTATGGGAGATACTGCTGCCTGCTTCTTATTTACAGTGTCACCTGAAAGTGAGAATAGGCATTCGCATTGCACTTTTGTAGCTGGTGTTGCAAGGTATTTACGTGCCAGATATGCTAAACATTCAGCCACTGTTCCAGAGGACATGCTTCCATGCTGAAGATGCTCGTTTTAAAAAAAAAAAAGTGTTAATTAAATTTGTGACTGAACTCCTTGGGAGAGAATTGTATGTCTCCTATTCTGTTTTACCCACATTCTGCCATATATTTCGTGTTATAGCAGTCTCAGATGATGACCTAGCACATGTGAAAGTGTTCTTAAAACAAACAGCAGATTTGACAAAAGGCAAAGGAGGTACCAATGTGACATTTCTAAAAATAGTTACAGCCCTCCACTTAAGGTTTAAGAATCTGAAGTGCTGTCCCAGATCTGAGAGGGAAGAGGTGTGGAACATGCTTTCAGAAGTCTTTAAAAGAGCAATACTCTGCTGGGGAAATTACAGAACCCAAACCACCAAAAATAAAATCAACCTTCTGCTGGTGGCATCTGCCTCAGATGATGAAAATGAACATGTGTTGGTCCGCTCTGCTTTGGATCGTTATCAAGCAGAACCTGTCATCAGCTTGGACGCATGTCCTCTGGAATGGTGGTTGAAGCATGAAGGGACACATGAATCTTTAGCACATCTGGCACATAAATCTCTTGCGATGCTGGCTACAACAGTGCCATGCGAGTGCCTGTTCACTTTCAGGTGACATTGTAAACAAGAAGCGGGCAGTATTATCTCTTGCAAATTGTAACCAAACTTGTTTGTCTGAGTGATTGGCTGAAGATGGACCGAGTAGACATGTAGGCTCTAAAGTTTTACATTGTTTTATTTTTGAATGCAGTTAATTTTTTTACATCATTCTACATTTGTAAGTTCAACTTTCATGATAAAAAGATTGCACTACAGTACTTGTATTAGGTGAATTGAAAAATACTATTTTTTTACAGTGCAAATATTTGTAATAAAAAAATAAAGTGAGCACTGTACACTTTGTATTCTGTATTATAACTGAAATCAATGTTTTGAAAATGTAGAAAACATTCTAAATATATATAAATAAATAGTATTCTATTATCAACAGCGCGATTAATCATGATTAGTTTTTTTTTAATCGGTAGACAGCCGTATTTGAAATCTAATAATCCCATGTGTGTGGTAGCTTTATTATGTTTTGTCAACAACAGTATGGGTTAACCGACTAAGGACCAATTAAGGAGTTAAGAACCTCTGTTCTAACATCACCTCCTGTCAGTGTGGCCTTTGACAAAGGAAGATTTCTTATTCCTATATATACATTACAAGGATTTCTGTGTCTCAGTCTTTGTTTGGTTTTCCCCATTTCTGAAATGAGGCAGGTGTTCCGAGGAAGAATTAATATTAAAGTTGGTAAAGTGCTAAGTATTGCTCTAGATAAATTGTACCACTCCTTGTGTAATTCACATACTGCACTGTAAACACTTCCTCTTCTAATCAGTAAATAGATACCCCTACAGCCTTAATTTAAATACTGTTGGATTTAAATTTGCAGTATTTTAAGTATAAGATACTGCTAGAATGATAGTCGCTTTCCTCATTGCATACATGCACTGGAATTAGCCATTAACTACAGAGGAAAAAATGGGCTCTCATAAAGTCATTCAAAAGTAATAGGTGCAGAATTGTTCAGATTTTTCTCTTTAAATTAAAAAAAACCCACGCCTTACCCATAATCTGTGATTAGATGTACGATGGGCCATATGGGGCCCTGGCTTTCAGTGTTCCTTTTCCTTTACAGTGTTGTTTGATGCACACTTGAACAGAAAGATGCTCTGCTTACGTATTAGACCACAAAAATGCAAGTTGATGGGTGTTAGAAAAAGCAACAGGTGTGTAATGTACATTAAATGTTAATATAAGGCATCAGTTCACAACAGATAAATCTTGTTGGAAGAAGCCCCCCTACTCTGTTTTCCTAGAACAAAATACTGATTGCAAGTGTTGTGGTGTCCTCCATTTCCTTTACTAGTTTTGATTTTTAACAAGGTACAGGAGAAAAAATTAAAATGTTTCCAGGTAATAGTCTCTGCTTATTCTAAGAAAAGTATGTGCGCATGGGGAATTGGCTCCTAAATTCTGGGGTCTGCTACGGTTCCTTAGATTAACTCTACTGATTTCACTGAAGTTGCTTTAGATTTATGCTAGTCTGAGAAAAAAATCTGTCCCAAATGGTTTGTTCTGGATGTTTGATGAATACATCATTTATGCAACAAGATGTTTGTTCATATTATCAAGTTTAATGTCCAGCTGAAACTCCTAAGAGTCAAAACCACCTTGCCTAACAAGAGGTATTATGTTGGAGCTTAAATAACAATGTTAAATATAATTGGCATGTTGAAGCCACTGTCCTACTGTTGTTTGTGACAATTATGGGATGAGATCTCATTATGGGCGATCACAAGTCAGTTTCTGTGCTGTGTGAGCTTGAGATTTCATTTTTACTGAAGTGTTAGTGTTGTATATGTGCGGGTTTTTTTAAACAGCCGGCCCCTGTGGTTCCTCTTTCAGCTTCCCTCTGTCTTCACAAGTTTTGTTTTTTTTTTAAACCACAGCAGTGCAGTGCCTTCAAACGGCTCTGGTTGCTTAGGGTCATCCCATTACTCTTCTCACAACGTAGCCTCTTGTGTCCCCTTCAGCTGTGGAAAGAGCCCAGGGCGACGGTCAGTTCCTCGCCACACGAGCAGTATTGAGGAAGCGCCAGGGGCAGGAGTGAGTAATGAGCGGGGTGTGTGAGAACACACGGGCTAGAAGAAAGCTCTGCAGCCCGGGACTGGGCCAGGGCCCCCCACCCAAGTCACAGCCGGACTGGACGCGGTCTGCCGACCCGCGCTAACGCGGGTCACGCAGGGGGAGCTGGGCGCGAGGCACGCCGGGA